ATTATTTACAGCCCTCAACCTTCACTGTAAAACTCTCACTGCCACATTAAAAATAAACGGCTGGGGTACGAGTCGGAGGCAGAGCGCATGCGCAGCAGAGAGTATTTTTCGCTTTGCCCGCCAGCTCTCCGTCAATGAGCCCTTCACGAAGGGCCACAAAAGGCCGCTTGTACAGACGGAGAGGGCGGAGAGCAACGGCCTAAACACGGCCAGCGGACTGAAGCGTGCCACACAGCCTGGTTGTGGAAAAGGCAGTGGCTCCTGTAGCTTTTCATCTTCCACAAGTTACCTAAAGAGAGAGAGCTATGCCTGTGTAGCATTAACGAAAGATGGAAAGATGGTGACATATATCTTATTTTAAATCTATCAGTATTTAATTTGTCCATTCTTTACTTTTGTGCAGTCTACTGCTACTTTAACTCTTCCATCCTTGCCGTCTTAAAACCATCGAGTTACAGCTGTGTGCTCCCAACAAAAGCTGCTCCTAAAGCTTTTACTGACATTATGTTCCCCTTCAAAGAGACACTGTCACACAAGCAACTACATAAACACACCTATACATGAACATGAAACTATGCAAATGTCATAAGTGGACCTCAGTGAGGGGAAAAAATGTAGAATTTGGTCTCTTTCCACCTCTCTGGTGAAAATGTGTAATTGCATACAACATGCACAAGAACATTCTGTAACATGGGTTGTGTTTCGGACCCCTTCCCTGAGGGATGAATCTGGTGATTGTGAGCGTGTTGAAAGAGTATTCAAACAGAATTCAGTCAAAACTTGGTGAGAGACGTGTCTTTGGAGGATGTAAGTGAATTATTTACTGTTGTCATCATTTAATCATTAGTAAAATGTTGAATTTGCATTTGAGACTTAAACATCGAGTCTGACCTTCTTTTTGAGCCTGTGCATGTGATGTCAATACATTAAGACACACAAATGGTCCAAAAAACTCCCGAAAAATCTAACTTGACACCTCTTGCTTTTAAATTATTATCTCACTCATTACAGGGTGTATTGAAGCAGTGCACACACTTCATATTTTAGCATGTTATTTTCTCCTGAATCAATAATGCTGCTTCATTAAATTGTAACAAATAAATCATACATAGCTCAGCAAGGTGACAGTACATGTGTTTTCAGCTTTCAGTTGGGGAAAGACCACAGGTAAGTGTGAATGCCAACATCCTCCATCGCTATGGTTACACCCATGGCAGGGTGTTGTCTGCACTCATGTCCTCACATCACCTCACAGTTGGGCAAGGAAGAGGGGGAGGTTGGCATTTTAAAAACTCTGGCAACAAGAAGCAACTATTTCAGACCTTTTTACATGGAAGGAGAGGAGCTCTGTTCCCAGTCTGGCCGTCAGCGGGAACAGCACAGTGTTTGGCTTCTAGAATGTCTGCTGTGTTTGGTTTGTAGAATGTTCTGAGGATCCTAGAATGCTGCATGTTGGAGTGTCAGCTCAAGGTTGTAAATGTCAAACAGGGACTGTTTTCACTGTAAACGTAATACAGCTCTAAATACGGTTTCAAACCCACTCTGTGTTTTTCACAAAGAAAAGTCTGCTGTCTGAATCATTTTCCATGTTATAATCTATTTAAGGGCACATTCTGTAAGACCCATTCCAAATAATGGTAGTTTACTTTCCTCCTCCTCCTCCAGTGCAAAGTTGCATCCATTTCTATTTGGCGCTATTGCGTCAAAAATGCCTGGTACTTTAGTTCAGGACCCTGTTCCATTGGCTTCAGTGGATTTGAAAAGAAACAAGGATGAAATAAATTGGCTTTAAATCAAGCGCAAGTCCTTATTGGGTGAACCATATAAGAATCACCGCTCATAGACTCATTTATACATAAACCTTTATCAGTGAGGAACTCTCAAGACCTTCTGGGCCTTCAGACAAGGCCTAATGATTTCTGTAAAATAAAAAAATTCTGCCTTTAATTTTTAGTCAGTTTTTGTTTAATATAATAAACATACTTGTTGCATATAAACTCTATAGGTGCTGTAGTATTCATGTATTCTCCTATTTCATTGTTAAGTTTTGGTTGAAAGCAAAAGGGCTAAATTCTTGAAATGCCTCATGGAAAATTTTCCGGTCAGGCCTATTTTCTCTGTGGTATGTAGGTAGATACAGCCAAGCAAGCTCTCCCACTGGTTAGGACTTCAGGAGCTGAACTGAAGGCCTTAGAAGTCAGATTAGCCACTAACATAATTAGGAACTGACAGTTGAAACAACTAATAACGTTTTGATTTCCAATGGATTGGAGCAATTTTGTGAGGTAAAAAACACATCTGGAAGTTCCAGATGTGTGACTAACTGGGAGTACAAGTGGTAGCCTGACCAAAGCATTTCATTCTGAGGGAAAACAGAGGCAGCTCTATATCTCTGAGAGTCACTGTGAAACTGCTACAAAATAAAGTATATGCTAATATGTCTGTAATTAGCTTCAATCAAAACATGGAGTGTCTTTTACGATGTCCATAATTAATCTTGAATAGAAAATAGGTTCAAGTGATTCACTGTTAGCTTAGCGCAACATACTACTAAAGTCCCATAAGGGCGCTAGCTGAAATTAGCATTATCATAGAGGTGTTTTTTCCTCAACGAGAGATTTTTATGGCCTGAACTAATAGTCATAGTTCATCACTCCATTTTAGGGAAATAAAGTAATGTGACCGTTGGCTGGTCAGTCTTTCCTTGGCCTTGGCTTGTTTTGTACATTACAAGCATGAGCACACAGTTAAGATTAACAATCTGTTAATCACAGTAGTAAATGACTGAATAAACTTACTTAAAAACAAACAAAAAAACAGGCCATGCTGATTTTCTAAGAGAGAATAAGTTACTGTCCTCTACAGAGAATACATTCTGCACACTTTAATTCACAGTTACTGTTTATTTGCTGAATATTGCAAAATTATATAATAAGTTATAAGTTATGGCACACTTCACACTTCAGCAAATAAACAGAAATTGTGGACTAAAGTTTGCACTATTTTCACTTAAATAAAATCAACAAAACTTTATTTGACTAGGGGTATTCAAACTTTGCATACAACTCTGCTCGAAGGTTTTGCAGTTGCTTAAAAGGTAGTGTAGAACAGCTTCAACATGAAGCATTTGTATTTGTGCTGAGTGGAACCTGCTGTGAAACATCTTAATGAACTTCCTGAGGTGTCTGAGAAATAAAAATTTGAGGCTGCATCTCAAACCGCATACTACTTATTTAGCATGGTGGTGTGTGGTTTGAGATGCGGCCTATATTTCAGCTTTTATTCTCACTGCTTCTGGGAATTTTCCATGGCTTAGAGCTCATGTCTCGCTCATCTGCTTAACCTGTGTAATCTAGTCTTGACGCATATCAGACCCTACAGGGCCGCTTTTCCGGAGTGTCTAACAAACATTCTTTGTGCAATTCAGGCCTGTATCCTCAGACTCAACACTGGGGTGTGAGAAAAACTGGTGAGTCACTCAATGTGACGCAAAAGTCTGCGAAAAGAACTCAGGCCACAGCGCTGCCTACAAACATTTTCAAGGTTTCGAACACGAGTCCCTTGCTGAGGGTTAAGTTTAGAGTTCTACCTGGGCTTTTGGTTTGGTTTAAAGTGAAGAGGTAGTTTGGTCTGGTTTGTACAATCTCAACAATAAACATATTTTTATAAAGCATGTAAAGAACATGCACAGTTTATTCTGTGAACATAAAGAATCTACATTATCTGTTCTACTTGAAAGCTGTATTGAAATCCTTTTGCTGGTCTGACTGCTGCTATAAAGGCTGTTGTACATAATTGGTTTAGTCCAAATATATAATTGTCATAAAAATGGCTATTACACTACAGTATCAGCATGAGACGCCATTTCTTAAGGGGTTACTATCAGTCTATTGAAATAAATGCCCTTAATGTCCCACCCTTTAGACTTCTACTTTCCCAGTTGGTGTGACAATAGCTATAGTTGTGTTTAATCCGTAGATGGTTTATTTTATTTATTTATTTGACTGTATTTAAAAAATAAATATGTTTCTGATATTTGATGTTTGTCAAACAACACAAAAAATTGTTCACAAAAAGAGAAAATGTACCATTTGGGCTTTGGCTTCTTTGAAAAATATATAACATAAAATATGGCCTATGCAAAAGTTATGGCTCATTTAATATGTTACTTTTTTCCAGCAAATAAATACAAATTGTGTACTGAAGTTTGCACTATTTTCACTTAAAAAAATAAACAAAATGTTGGACTAGGGGTGTTCTCGTGTAAGTGCTCTTTTTCCCTCTTTTTTCATAAGTGGACCCTCTCATTGACAGGGCCTCTAAACTTCAAAATGTAGAGAGGACTTTATACACAAACAAAACGCCCTAGGTGTAGACGTTGTGCGCAAAATTCACGTTTACTCAAGTTGTTTACCCAAAATCCTAATGAAGGAGTATCAGTGAGCCATTTTATGGGCAAACTTTGAGTCTCAGTGAGCACCATTCATGCTGCTGAGAAACAGGGGCCTCTCAAAGAGAAGCCTACACAGAGAAATAGGGCATGTATGCTAGGGCTGCACAACATATTGTTTGCTGTTATTGCAGTATTGGCTTTTGCAGGACTGATCTTGATAAGTTCTTGCATTATCTCACACATTTCAGATGCCTTGTTCAGAGAAAAGAAGGCATGCACATCCACATAACATAAATACAAGATTGTCGATCTATACTTTAACTTTGTGCCATGAAGATGTTTGTAATATGTTGCAATTGCAGTACAGTATTTTATTTTGTGCAGCTCTAGCATATACCCAGTGTGTGCTGGTTCTTCATCTCCAAGTTTGGCCCTACTACTATAGTTACTTTACTACTGAAGCCCATTTATTAATCAGTTAAGCAAATATTACATAATATCTAAATATATTCTGATTTCATGCTCAAAGTCTATGTACCAACAGTGATGTGAGCTATTTTTAATTTTATGATGACTAGAGGTAAAGATGAAGAAATGCCATTCTTACCTGTCCGTACAAAAGCCACACAGACAGCGAGGGCGGCTAGGAGGAGAAATCTAGACTGTGTGCTGGAGCTGCTGCAAAAGGCCATGTTGGGACTATGTTGGGTCGAAGGCTTCACTCTACTTCTACCAGACCAAGAAGCTCAATGCAGGGGAAGAGGTAGAGAGGTAGGGAGAGAAGGGTGGAGGAGGGAGGGGTCCGTTTGCGGACAGTGCGGACATTGTCAACACCTCCACTTACAGCCCACCCACTTCATGCCCACTCTGACAAGTCCATCATATTCATCTTCAGGGAGAAGGTGACTGTATGGATCTGTTGAATCATCTCAGCAATTTTAGTGACTCTCCAATGTTGGAGTCCCTGATGAACACCACAAACATCATGAAATATTGCACCTACTTTGCAGAGAAATAATAGAAACTCCCAGTCTGTTTTTAGACCTGGCCATAGACCTACGATGACTACATTAGTTGTTGTCCAGTTGTGTGCACTTTATAAGGAAAAAAAATCATGACAGGGCTGCTTTTATGACTAACATTACAGCACAGACCTGAACAAAATATTTTCAGTTTAACCTACTTCAGTTTTATAGTCAGGTTTGAAAGTATTTAGGGTTTGAGAGAATCTCTTTTTTGGATCTGTTACTCTGCAACAATTTCTGAGACCCACTAAAACTTGTTTAAACTCTTTCTACAGGCCTCCTAGTGGCTGCCCGATACTCAAATATAAAAAAAAATCAAATATATGCAGCTATTCTCAGGGAAACGCAGCATGGCAAACAAGCATCATTTTCATCTTGAATGAGACTAAGTACTTGTTCTAGATAAGCAACTGTCCTTGACTCTGGGCCCTGCAAGTTAACACTGCAAGTACACATTCAGTGTTCGTCATTCCACCTTTTAGAAGAATTAGTCTATTTTCTAGCAGTTTTCTACGCAGCAAAACCTGACTTTCATCATCCAGATATAAAATATGAACAGGCAATGAGCAATGTTTTGAAGCGCTGTAGTGAGACCATATTATTATTACTACCTGGGGGAAAAAAACTGAGGCGAGCTAAAGGACGACTGGCTACAGCAACTTCTGGGATTTCAATACGTTCTATATCCGGAAGGTACTTCACAAAGCAGAGATTTTCAGCAATATAGTGACCTGGGTCTAAAGGAAACCTGTCTAGATACGCACAAAGTCATTGTGATTTGGAAATCATTACATTTTCCTCCTGTACTGTGATTTACATCTGAGTGGAACAATATCAGAAAGGGCCACTGAGCTAGCTGAGCATTTGTCTTGGGAAATATGAAATTTCTGCTTAATGCTTTTCCCCCACCTACTGGAGCACAGTGATGTTTTAGAGCCAGGAAAAAGTCATTATATTTTAAAGGAAGAGAATTTTGTCTTTTAAGTGTGATATATGATGTGTGCTTTATATAATGATGCTCATTAGTGAGTCTAGAGATGTGCTATATGTTACTTATGGTAAAAGTCTCTTCAGATTTCAGGTCGACGAAGTTACCTGGTGGAGAAACCTTCCTTTGTGTCACATAGACAGCCTGAATGGTTAGTAGAGAGTGACAGAAGACGTGGAAATTTTTGTGCAGCCACATACAGTCATATGCAAAAGCTTGAACACTCCAGCTCAAACTACGTTTTGTTGATTTTCTAAGTGAAAATAATAAGTTAACACATCCTTAACAAAGACACTTAAATAAGGCATTTTCCTGCCAGTTTTAGTGCACAAATAAAAACTAATTATTTGCTGAGTTTCACATATTGAAAAAAAAAAAAAAGTGTCATAACTTTTGCACAGGCCACATTTTATTTTCTCCCTCCAATATGTTTTACTCCGCAAATAATCAGTAAGTGTGCATTAAAATTTGCAGTGATGTGTTAACTTATTTTCACTTAGAAAATCAGTAAAACATTGACGTGTCATTTGACCAGGGTCACCCAAACCGTTTGAAATACGGCTGTATGTCATTTATAGACGTTTCCACATCAGTAACAGAAACCAGACAATTAGGTACCAGAAAACACTAAACAGACAAAAGGAAGCAATGACTTGCAAGTTTCCCAACAGAGAAATGAAAACTGACCACAAGTTCTAACATAAAAGCACCTTTGATTGCAGCCAATGAGTGACAAAGGTGTCCACGAGGAGACAAGGTAATGTAGAACAGCCCACACCAAGGCTGCCTTTTATTTTTTTTTTTTTTTCCATACTGCAATAAAAAAGTATGACTCCATTGGTTCATTGTTTCCATATATTATAATACAGATGCAGAATTGAAAGTTTATTCTTTAAACAGCCTAGTATTTTACAAGAAATGGATAACTACTTGGAACTTTCAAACACGTCCTTAAAACAGGACAGCGGTGATTATACGTCCTTAGGTCCTACGTTGTCATCTTCTGCCAACACATGGCAGCAAAGAGGAGGAGAGAGGAAAAGGAAAAAAAAGGAGGGGAAAAAAAACAGGAAAATCAAATCATTCAATAAATAAAATATTACAGGGGGGTAAACAGATTGTTCTGGGCTAACTTGCTCTATAAACATCCTTAAAGCAATCAAAATATTGAGTCAGTTAAGTAGCTGAATTGTCTCTGATGAGGGCATCCAAGCAGCATCACATCTGAAACTGGAATTAGTGGACTCCCTTTGCTCGCTGCCTCTGGAGAGGCCAGTTTCCCTCTTCACCTATTTTGGAGGTGTATTATTTTTGGTTCTTTCCTTGATGTGAGGGGAGGGGCAACTGGCTAAGAGCTGGGGCAAGATGCGGAAGCATTTCCTTTGGGGTCATGAGGCTTCCACAGCTCCACTTTATGGCTGGAATCAACATTTGAAGTGACAATGAGGGAGGGAAAAAAATAAAGGAGCTGGAAAAGAGGAGTTTTTAAAACAACATTGGGCGATGGGATAAAACGTAGCTGTTCTGAACGGATATAGTCAGTAGGGGGAGTGAGTTTGTCAGTAGGTCTCAAAAGTCCTCCACAGTCTCAATCTCACCCATATTTAATCGCTCAGATGATGCATTGACTGAGAAACCTGCAACAGTGATAATGAAGCACTGCATTACTTACAATAAAACATTTATTTTGCACAATAATGAAGACCGCTTCTGTAACTATCAATTTACAGAAGCATTTAAGAATTTCTTCTTTAATCACAATAATATCAATACATAGACCATAGATATCATCATAGATATTCATAGAGATCATGCAGCCCAAAGTGAATTACTGAGGGTTAGAAGACAAATGACAAATTGTTTTAAAAATAAAATTGTACAAAAAAGCAGCAAGAATATGGTAAAATAAAGAAATCTAAAAAGTTTAATCACAAATAATAGTAATAAAAGTAAAATCAGCAACAGTACTAACAGACATAAAACAGTAAAAACAACAATGATAAATAATAACAAAAAGCTGGTAAAAATGTCCTAAACTTTGTTAAAATTTTGTACTGATGTACAAACTAGAGCGTTCCCTTTTTTAGAAGCAAAAAAACAAAACACGGCCCCACCACATCTTTTCTTGTTATAAATAATTAACACAGACGCAATTGGAATACTTGGGAGTAATATATAATTAGAAAACTCTTACTCACCTAACAAACTGGGATCTGCTCTCACCATCTTCTGTTTCTTCTTCTTTTTGCCAGAGGTGACCGTCTCAAAGCGCGGCTGCTGCTGCTGTTGCTGCTGTGTGGAGGAGTGGTTGGACTGAAACACGGCCTGAGATACGGTCTGGTTCATCCCCCACACTGAATCCTGCTAAACCACAGCACAGAAATAAATTTATATAAATACACATACACATACACACACACACACACACGAGAGTAACACTACAGTGGCACTGTAACTGATTTCTGCAAATTTCATTGTTCTCCAACACCACCTCTGTCAACAAAGGTGTCAGTTTCGTTAAACTCCAGTGTGATTAAATTAGTGAGAATCACTGTATGAAACCGTATATACAGTAGTGTGCAAAAGTGACAAAGTTCTGTTCTAGAGAAACTAACACAATTGTTCACAGTGCTGACCAGATGTCTGAAGAGTTTAATGCTTCTAAAAGTTTCTTCACATAAAGTTATTACATGAAATATTTACAAATATGCTGCCTAAGGCCTATACTTGTGTTGTTGACATCATCACGGTAAAGAGGTGGTACGTTTCTCTACAATGAAATACTTCACAAACATCTCTCAATGACTTGGTTTACATCTCACTGACTGAATTACACAGACATTTTGAAAAATTGGTGAATTTCTCTTTTAAATTTGTTTCCTGTAGAGTTATTTTCACTTAGAAAATTAACAAAACATGTAATTAGAGCCTCCAGCTCCCCCGCAGGATAAGCGGCTTAGAAAATGTGTGTGTAATTAGAGCAGAGGTATTCAAACTTTTGCATACAACATAACACCCTCAGTCTGGAGGCCAAGCTCACATCACAAAAAAACTCCAGCAATGCATGCAACATTTACAACACAACTCCTCCTGCATGCATTCAAAGACTTTGATATGGCATTCTATTACAATTCTATAATTCATTACATCACTTTCTGAGGCGAGACACAGCAAATGCATTTGCAGCCACAGAGCGTACACAAACACAGACGCACCTGTTGATTTTTCTGCTGCTGGCTCTGCAGAGATTTCTGCTGGTTGGCGTTCTGTTTGGCACGACGCTCCAGGAACTGCTTGGCGAAGTCCTTGGCCTGGGGTGTGTCTCCCAGATACGCTCGCACGTAATCGTGCACCTCATAAGGAGAGTCCACCTCCTTCAGGAATGACGCAAATGTTGGAACTGTAAAAAGAGAAAGAGGGGAGGAAAAAAAAATAGGAGAGAGAGGACAGAGTGACATGGAGAGAGTGAGTTAAATCAGAAACTCAAAAGCATACAGTCACATTCATGAATGTCCTTTTTTCCATTCTGATTCTGAGATGTCACCAAAACCAACATCAGCCTACAGTGGTTTAGCTCTGTCCATTCATGCTGAAGTTATAAGGAGTGTTTCAGCCCAGACTGCTTTTTTAGTTCCGTCACAATACAGGGCAGCCAATCAGAACAGAGCTCATATACATGTACAAAATATTTTGAGCCTGTTTAATTCTAAGAGATAGAGGTTGGAAAATAACTATTTTTGGAACATAAATCCACACAAATGTTATAAGTAAGATATTTTCTGTTTAAGTTACTGTTTCTTAAACCAGGGACAACATGCAAGGATTTCAGAAGAACAAAGTCAAAGAAAAGAAGGATTTTATTTTTAAACCAGACTGCAAGTCTATGGATGATAAGGAGCAGACAGATATGTTAGGAGCAGCATGCTGCAGCAAATAATCTAAAAGGCAGTCACAATTAGACAAACCGTCTAGCTTTTCCTTTTTAATAGCTGTTTTTTTTATTCCAGCTCTGTTGTACTGTGCATTTTGAGGCTAATAAAACAGCAAAAAGTACAGCCAAGTACAAAATATTCTTCGAATAAATTAAGTTAGCACTAGTGAGCTACCTTGTAATATATTTGACTTTCCCTCTAACCAGCAAGCATACATTGCTTAACAGAAATTCAATTATAGCATCATATGGTCATAACCCTTAATAAAGTCACAAATCTGTTTACTATCTAGACTGGAATTAACAAGAAGCCTACAAACAAAGACTTACAGTACTAAGATGTTCTTGATAAGCCCATCATCAAACTTAAATGCAGTTGGCAGTTGTAGTTTATGTAAGTCACACTGTTTGCTTCTTGCATGTGTTTCAATCATGCATGAAAGGCCTGATATAAAGTTTATTACTTTCAGTTCTATGCATGTCGTCCTGTAAGAGTATGCCACTTATTTCTAGAGCTGTCCATGTGTGTGGGCGCACATGTAATGAAGCTTTACGAATGCGTTTGTGTGTGTAAACAGCTCACCGTCAAGGTTGTTGGCAGTGTTGAGTGCGTGTAGCGTTTGCTCACACCACTGCATGAAGCCGTCCTGAGTCTTATTGGCTCCCTGGAAGAGCTTCAACAGCTTCTCTTCTTCTTCCACTTTTTTACTGGATTTCCCACTGTTACTATTACTGTAATGCACAAAAAATATAAATACACCAAAGATTTTATATATATATATATATATATATATATATATATATATATATATATATATATATATATATATAAAAAAGATATATATAGCCTTTTTCTGATTCATTAGAAAGAGTAGTAACATGTTTTACTAACATGAATTAAAGTTATAACATATTTTTATTACAATTAAAAAATAAACATGCTGAAATGCTAATTACAATTGCAAGCCGTTTGAGCTTTTATTTCCTTTTATTTCCTGTTTTTCTTGATCTCAGAAATTAAATTTTCACGTGATAATAAATTTAACCAGTACAAAACAAACAATTAACTGCAACTGTTATTCATGACACCATAGAAACACACCATTTACTTATACCACCCATTTAGACTCTGAATGGCAGTAAGAGACAAATATATTATACACATGCAGTCATTTTAAACAGGAAACCACAGTGTTGCCTTCCAGAAAGAAGTGAGAAAAATTTGATCTTGTTTAATTCAATGTGTTATGCATTTCATTAGATCTGATGTACTAACAGACATGACAGTTACTAATTTAAGACTTAATATTCCAGCTGCTCTTCACACATCCTACAGCACACAGCTACAGGGTTTTACCTGAGGTTTGCATTTCCCTTGTTCTTCTGTGCATTGCTCTTGCGTGATGGTGGAGGTTGAGCAGTCTCCTTAACTGCATCATCCCAGAAGCCCATGTTAGAATTCTGAGTGTCACCCCAGATGCTGCTGCTCTCCGAACCCCAGTGGGAACTAGGGTTACTCACTGAACCCCACACTGAGGTCAAAACCTGTATACAAACCAGAAACAGAGATAGAAAATCTATGTTTAGTCTATGTAAAATGTTCAGTGATGAAAACAGAGCTTTCAGATAAAACAAATATAAATCAAGATTTAAACTTACTTTAGGACAAATGATTATGATTTTTTTTTATTTTATTATTTGGTGATGTTAATTTTATTGAGTTCAGGTCAGCTTCGGACTCAAAACCTGAAACCAGAGTTTTGCCAAGCTCAGGCTGGGTTCGGACCCAAAACACAATACTGTGTCGGGATAGCCTCAGACATGAAACTCTCTCGCTGTATTCAAGTTTTGTTTGTTTTATATTTCCACATATGATCCTTAACCTCTTAATTTCTCCAGCTTGTTACATCCTCATGCTTATTATTCAGAAACTACACAGTCTACAGTGAAAACTGAGTTATTCTTAAGTTAGAAAACTGTGTAGTAGCAGCATGCATATATATATATATATATATATATATATATATATATATATATATATATAGAGATATATAGAGAGAGAGAGAGAGAGTATTGTGAATGAATGAATAGATGCATGAAAAACAAGAGAACTTGCAGAACTCACAGTTCTGTTCTGGGTGCGGTTTTGCTGAGTGACCGTAGCCTGTTGCTGTTCTTTCCTCTGCTTCATCTGTTGGGCTTCCTCCTGCTGGATCTCCAGGAGGGACTTAGTTGCAGTAGGCTGCTTCGCCACGCTGCCCCAGCCTGAGAGCTTGGCCTGGGGCTGCTGCTGTTGCTGCTGCTGCTGCTGCCTCTGGAGCTCCTGCTGCTGGCGTCGTTGCTACAGAACAACAAAGATGCACTGACATGCAGAGAAGTGGGGAACGCGAAATGTTGGAAATGCACACTTATTTTTCAATTCCTGATATAAAAAGGAAGTTTGCCTTTAATTCTGCTTAAGATACATGGAACCACCACTGCCGAACACGTCACTGACACTGACGCACACTGGTCTTTTTTTTTTAGGGCTGGTCCACCAGCATTTTACACACTTTGAATGCTCAATGGCTTTTCCAAACAAGTACTTCAATATTCCTTATAATAAATAAACCCTTAAAATAACCCTTAAAATACATAACATTTACACTGCAGTATTAAACGTAATTTAAAGACTTTGTTACGTCAGTTCAGAAAAAAGTCTAGTAGCAGTGTATTAATAGTCAGGTTGAAGCTCAGCTGCTCGGTCACTGTGTTACTATAATAGAATCAGCAACTGATGCCCTCTCACTGAAATACAGCTTTCAATCACTTCCACTTTCAATCAGAATCACTTGATTCTGACTTTGAGGCTTTTTTTTTTATTACATTATTTAAATTGGCTAGTTCATTGTTTTTATCATGGAAAGAAGCATTAAGGCTGACACGCAGGTCAAACTGAGCTCTGTAATAGCCGAGTTGAGCTCAGTTATGTGGCTATCAGTTCACAGCCTGACCAGTGGCTGACTAGAGAGGCTGAAGTTAACTTCACGCTTGTGCCAGACTCACCTGCCCAAAAGCGACCACGACAGCAGCACCGCTGCGCTGCCGTCCTTTAGCGCTCTCAGAACTCACTATAAACAGGTTTGAGGCTCTGAGCTTCCTGGTTTTATCGTCTTTCTCATCAGAGCTAGTATTTGATAAGTATTGCTACATCTACATATTTGATGATTCATCAGACATCTTGTGCCACCATTGCACTGAGCATTTTCTCACAGTCTGAATGCGATCTTGTGATCTCTTTGGCATGTGTACTTGTCTAGCTTAGAAGGCCAGGGGAAAGCATGAAGAAAAGAAGAAGAAGAAAAGACAAAGCATCTGAACACTACACTGAGAACCAAACACCAATGAAACAAATGAATACTCAAGTATTCAAATAATTCCAGGAAGGCCTAGTCTATTTATTTAAGCAAAATCTAGGCCCTTATGTGGAGGTAGGGGCTCAAACAGGGACTCACGTGCATGGGCTTATGACTCATACATTCCAATAACCCTCCTATAAACAATTCAAGCGTGAAATGTTTGGACAATGTTAAATGCACTGAATCTATTTTATTGAGTTAATAAATACAGAACAGTCATTTGCCCTTTAATGTCCACTTCCGTTAATAATTTTTTAGAATAGATATCCCATTTGTTACCACTGCCACATTTAATCTAATCAAAACTGGATTATTTTGAGGGAGTCGCAAAGTTTGAAATTATCTGCCACAGACACACAACACTGAACTCAACATGTGTGTATATGTGCCTCTGTTGTCTATAGACGTCAAGAATGTGACCACAGCCCAAAGGTGATATTCAACCAGTGCAACACAGGATTTTCCCCCACCCACGAGATTTATGCATTAAAAAAAAAAAACCCAACATATAAAATATCCTTTAACCTACTGCAAATGAGTTATATTTACTTAGGAACATAGTTCAGTTCTGCCTTTGTTTTTTAAATTGCATACAGAAATTTGTTGTTTTATTATATGTTACTTATTGCTAAGGCTGCAACAACTAATCGGCATTGTAAATGTCAATAATAAAAAAAACGTTGGCAACAAATCACTGAACAAGTTACTGATTAGGTGGCTTGATGACATTTGAGCTTCCCATTTACATCACATGACTGAAACAGAGAAAAACAGACCTCATCATGATTAGAACATAAATATTTGAAAACACCAACATCGCACACATTTACTGCTGTTAAACGTGTGATGAACAATCTTTATGATGAGCAAGCTTTAGGTGCTTTCCAAATATGACAGAGATAAATGTGAATGCGCCAGTATGTGATCTGTATAATCAAATTTCATTACATGATGTAATCGACCACACAGAAGCTACTTAATTTAGTTCTGCTTCATCATTAGAGGAGAAATATAAAAAGCCAGCCGATATTGGACTGCCATGTAAAAACAGGTAGTGTTGTTCCTTGTTTCTGAGTTTTCATGAGCAATGTAGAAAATCTGTTGCCGCACTCTTGATAAAAGCCCTTTCTAGAAAATATGAATAAAAAGATAGGGTAGGTGTTTTAATAGGTTTTTTGTGTGAAAAACAACCCTTGAATCTTTAATTTGTGGAATGAAACATCATTGCCAGACTAATATATGCAGGTATTTGTTTCGCAACTAATCGATTAAGCAGAATTCATAATGAACCAGCAAAGTGATTATGAAAATAATTGCTCGTTGCAGCCCTACTTCACATAACACCTCACATAGCCAGGCTAGACATAAATTATGAAGCTGTTCTTGCACTGGTATAGTAAACCTGATCCTGAGGCTGTCCTACATTTTACACATGCTTCCACTGCCTACTGCTCAAAGAGATACCATGCTGCTTCAGCATAAGAGGCATAGGCTGACATAAAAACTGCACAGCAACATTAAAACCATGGTTTAAGCATTGTAGAAATATAAGCAACCAGGATCTGGCTACAGCCAGCAATACAATTTTAATTTCATTGTAAACAGGAAGAGGGCAATGGAAAACTGACTTGTTTTTCAAGCCACCACAACGTGATGGACCACAGTCAGAAATCAGTTCCAGTAAGACAGCAACCGCAAACGAATGAAGCAAATGTAAAAAGTGCTTACATGTGAAAATGTGAAAGAAACTAATATATTTGCTAATTTTGTGTTCTGCTGTGGTTGTTAAAGCACAAAGAACAGTTCCTGTTTGAATTGTTAAATATTCTATACACTTCCTGAATAAATGTATTCATTAAAATATTAGGCAGACAGTGAGTCTTACCTCCTCCCGAGCTTGTCGTTCCCTCTCCTCCTCGAGTTTCTGGATCTCGCTGAGAGACAGAGTGTTCTGCGTCTGGGTGAGGGAGGAGGCCGAGGCAGACTGCTGACCCCACTTAGAGGACAATGGGAGCTGGAGAGGAGCAGAGAAATACAAATGTCACTTATGCCAAATCTACCAAGTCATGATTTAGTTACGGAATTAGATAGATCAAGTGGGCAAACTAAACTCAAATGACCTTCAACCACAGAGTCTAAATCTGACTAGACCAAGACCAAAAACTGACCAGAAGAAAACAAAATTCTGTTAAAAAAACGACAAGAACTGGCCCATCATCAACCAAAGCTGCTGAATAAAGCTGACAGGACACTACATTCCCATGTAGTGACAATAATAACTGTCATCAGAGCACATTTCAATTAAATATAATATGATAAACTATAATACAATAATCAGCTGTACAAAATTAAGTTTAATTGAATATTCTACTTTGATAAATGCACTTGTTAAATGATAATTTTGAACAGCACCTTCAATTGTTTAATACTAAAGTGCTAGCTCAGCACACTCAGCATGTTAACTAAAAACTACAGCAGGTGGAAAGGGGGGTAGAATCTGTTCAGTGTGGAAGGCAGCCTGTGGAAACCCGAACATGAAATCTGAACCCGTCCCGAGCCTAATACATATTCGAGAAATATTTCAACCTTTAGTTTAGAGTTTACTGAAATCTGTCTAAATTAATATGCATATTCTGATTGTCAATTTCTTCCAGTAAATGATGGGTGGACAAAACCTTTTTTTTTAACTACTGACTCACCTACAGAACTCATCTGGAACATTGAAGATTAGTCAGAATACTCATAACACAGCAAGAAAATTTGTCAAAGGGCTCATTTGCATGTTGCAGCCTTCTGTCATGGCAATATTGCAAAGGCCAATATAACGACAACAATAAATTGTGCAGCCCTAGCAGGAGCAAATTAAGGAGCTGCATTTGAATTACAAATACAAATCACTGTGCCACTTTTAAACTCAATTTGCCAGGTTATCTCCATGTGCATGGTTAGGACATTATGAGCATTCCTTTTCACCTTCATTTGGGCCAGCTGCTGCTGCTGTTGCTGCTGCTGGAGTCGGCGCAAGGCCTCCTGCTGCTGTTGCCTCTGTCTCTGCAGTTCTTGCTGCCTTTGAGCCTCCTGCTGCCTTTGAGCCTCTTGTTGCCTCTGCAGCTCCTGCTGCCTCTGAAGCTCCTGCTGCCTCTGAAGCTCCTGTTCCCTCCTCTTCTGCTCCTCCTGCTGTTGTCGTGCCAAAGCTGCCGCAGCTGCTGCAGCTGCCGCCGCCGCCGCCGCCACCGCCTCCTCCTCCAGACGCCTCTCTTCTTCTCGCCTCCTCTGAGCCTCCAATTCCTCCTGCTTCCTCCGCTCCTCCTCCTAGAAGAACCATACACAAATCAACAGAGCTGAAGAGTGCTTGAAGAACTTCTTGTCACTTCTTTCTTATTGGTAGAAGTTTAAAGTACAATGCGATATATGCAATATATATAAAAAAAAAAAAATGAAGCGTAACTCTTGCACACGGTCATTGCCCCACTCACTGTCAGGTAATCAAGGTGTTCTCTCTCCCGGTCAGTGTCCTCATCTGACGTCATGTTCATTTTAACTATTAGGCGCACGCACACACACACGCACGCACACCTACTTTCTGGTAACTTTTTAAGTAACGTTAATTCTGCGGCATGTGCACTCGCTTTTGTTCCCAATTGTACCATGATTTGCTCCTCTCATTACAGTTAGGGATTTGGCTGAAATAGTAATTATGAGTACAGTACTGTAAAAAGTCACATTTAACAGTCTATAACTTGGTTACTGCCAACGTAACTGCCTGGTAAACAAGCAAGCTGGGCTGCAATTATGTTACACAAACATTATTAACGTTAAATGTTTGCCCAAGGTTGGCAGGTCTGCGTTAACTCAATTCACAATTTCAGCATTCTGCAACCACTTTTTTGTTTTTCAGAAGACCAGACGCTGCTGCCTCTTGTTATTTAATAATAACAACTTACACAATGTAGATGGAAGTATTATAATTTAGACACCAGAAAGTGTTATAAATGTGTTTTATTAGATTTTTCAGGTTGATTGGAATGTAAGTTTTTTTAATTATAAATAATCTACTGCATTACTAATTTCTTGACAAGTTATCTGGATGCTAATTCGGGATTCTGGATGCTAATTTTAGTGTAACTTTATTCTACAGCTTTCTTAGTTATTATGGAATCATCTACAGCTTTGTTCATCACTCCTGATCCAACTAAGGTTTGCTCTTTTTTTTCTCCACAGTTTCCTATAAATTAGTTGAAACATACAGGTGTAGACATAATACAATCATTTTTATTTCTATCGTCAAGAAACTGCTCCTTTATTATTGTAATCTTTTGAATGGTACAACATAGTGTAAGTACATCGTGTAAAATGTAGGTAAAGTAAAAATACCACACAGATTTGAGGCGTCACCTGTTTACGAAGAAACTCTTCCCTTTGCCTCCTTTCTTCCTCCTCTCTCCTTTTCTCTTCTAGTCTGCGGAGTGCTTCCTCCTGGGCCAGACGCTCCTCTTCCTCCTTCTGCCGCCGCTGTGTCTCCTCCTGCTCACGCTGTCTTCTCAATGCCTCTTCCTAAACACGACAGACAGTGACAAACAAGCGCATGCATTTTAACAATACATCACACCTTGGGATATACTCCCGTGTAGTCGGCCCTTTGCTAAGGTCTTGCTTATGTAGTATTTGTTAAACTCACTATATATAAGTTCTTATTTGACAGATATCAGATATTTTGTTACTGAAGTTTGCTACTGAAAGCGTAAGCAGAGCCAGGCCTGAAACCACATCTAGCCTTTTTTTTCCTTTGAAGAAAGAAAAAAAAAAAAAGACAGGAAAAGAAATCTATCAGACAGCTACCATGTGACTTCAAGGGACATGCCACACACACCAAGAAAATCAGATAAGGGTAACCTGAAAAACAGTGCTTGCCCAGATTTCTCTCTTGCTTTCTCTCACCCTTCTTCCTGCCACCAGCTGCTGCTGATTCTTATGTCTAGTTTAGACTGTTTTCACACAAACTTTCTTTTTCTAAAGTGTTACACTGTATCCTCATTTGGTTTGGTTAATTTCACAGAAAAAGCACATCAAATTACACACATGGGTGTCTGCTGATTGGTCAGGAATTTTGCGAGTATACAAGCACTCAGGTTACTTTCATGTTTGCATGCAATAGTGCCAAAAGACAAACAAAAATTTAGAATTTTAGCAGGTGGTTCTTGCCTGGTCTCACTTATAAAAAACACATTACTAGGGCTGAAACACATTCGATAGTATTTAATAAATTATTAAATGCTCAATGTTTATCAAACCAAATGCTAGTTTGTCACCAGCAGCACACAAAAACCTGCCCCGATTTTTCAGCCAGCAGTATTGGTCCTGACTTCAGACCGACGTTCCCCCACTGCTAGCTACCGTGTTCTTAGTTGCATTTAGTACCAAACACGTACTGGCTAGCTAACTATCCAGAGCTGCCCAGAAAATGATTCAGACTGCACAAAGCTTGTGATTTTAGAGATGCTCTGGTATAAAGCAGTTTGGCTTAAAACCATTTTTCAAATAGCTTAAAAATAATAAAAAAAAATAATCATTTTTTAGAAGATAGTGAAAATAATTTCTTCTGCTTTCCTGCACTGTTAAACAGAATCAGGGTTGTCTAGTTGGATTTGGATAATAACTATTAATTACAACATCTGTAGGAAAGATAATAATACCTATTAATAATGAAACACTGAAGATATTTGAGATAATCTTAAAATGAATATTCAAAAATGAAAATATTACAGTTTAAGGCCTTTGCAGTACGTGTCAAAATGCCTGCTTTGTCATTCTTGTATTGCTTGTCTGCCATTGTCATCAGGAGTTCATGCTGTTTGAGGTTAAAACCCTCCTCGCTCTCTGTTCTGACCTGTTTCCGCCGTGCCAGCTCCTCTTCCTCCAGACGTTTGCGCTCTTCCTCCTGTCGTGCCCGCATCACCTCCTCCAGACGTTTCCGCTCCTCCTCTTCCCTTTTAGCCCGTAGCTCTGCCTCCCTCCGTTCCATTTCCAGCTTAAAAAGACAAGACGGCAGGTATGCAACGAATGAGAACAAAGACAGCCAAAAAAAAAAAGTTTGTGTGTTAGCAAAATTTAAGACTACATACTATAAACATTGTAACATTTACTTTAAAAGTTACCAGAGCGCCGTTTCTTAATACTGAAAGACTTAAGCCTCTGTCTTACTTACATTGCTTTTTTTGTCTTATTCTCAGTAAACTAAACATTGAATTAAACAGTGAGTGTAATTTGTTTTTTGCAGCCAAGTAGCAAAAAACTGGCTTACTTTTGCTTTCTCCAACTGCATCTGCTCAATGGAGGCTTGAGACATGGTGTCTATGGGCAGATCCCACACACTGGTCCCTTCCCATGCTGAAACAAACACATCCATTTGAGCTGCCACGTTTGTAACTAGGGCTGTCGTTTTTAATCATAAAAGAAATCGATTAATCTACTGATTAGTTTGATTATGGATTAGTTTGAAAATTAATCGATTAATCAGATGTGTAAAAAAAGTCAAACAATACTATTTGGTTAAACTGATCAATAACAAAAACATGCATATCCCCTCAAAGATTCCAGAATATTTAATTGGAAAAAGATAAATAAGGAAGCCTTTAAAAAAACTGCAAAAAGCATCTAAATGAGAAGTCCATCAGGAGACCAGTAGGAGAATCTGAAATACCACTTTCTTTATGCAAACTGGCAAATGGCGATTCACCGATTTCAATGGAGTAATCATGTTCTCTTGTAACCTACATATACGAAACCTACAAATCTTGATCTGTAATCTTGGTTAAACAAATGAGACTGTGGGGGAAAAAACTGCTACGAGTAATTACAGAAATTCATTTTAGATGCAATCCACTGACCAAACAAACTAGTTAAGAGAGACTAACCCAGTTGTTTCTAAACGTTCAGTGTTGGATGCAGGTAATCAGCTTTCTGTGATGAGGGGTCCATTAAAGCCTCCATAATGATGCTAGCAAATCAAAACACTATTTAGTGGTTTCCTTCCAAGTACTTTTAACAGATGCTGCATAGTCAGCACTTGAAGAAAGTGTGAAAAGTTGGTTTCCCGTGTTACTTAGAAAAACGGATATTACTTCACACTTCCCAAGTTGGTCCTAAGATGTGAAACATGGCCAAGAACTATATTACGGGGCAAATGCCAACAGCTGTCATGTAATGCTGGGGAAAAAAGGCAAAAACATTGCTTGACTGCACCCTTAGGTTCAAAAATCTAGTTCTCTGAATAAGTCTTTGAAGATATCAGCTCTATCAACTGACTTGCATAAATAATCCCAGTACGGGGGCAAAAAAGCTGCATATGGTATTCAAAGCTGTTCTACTGACAGCACAGATCAAAACCAGAGGAGGAGATAACAAAAGACATTACTTCTACCCAGTCGTAGTCACTGGTATGAGAAAGTCAACCAGGGTATGAAACCTTAGTATGACTCACATACACTTCAGGAAACAAGCTACTAAGCAATCTGACAGTAGCTTACAGCTTGCGGGCTCAAACTGTACATTTCTGACTGAAACTGTAACTAATAGTAATAAAAGACCTTTATAACTGTCAGGTATAAGGTACTATCTGACTAAAGAATTTCCTTGACAATTCATTTTTCAATGTTAGAATCACTACTTGTTTGAGATCTCAGCACTCAAACAATGAATTCAATAGGCGTTTTAGTTTACAAATCAGAGATGAGGCAAGCCTAAAATCATTACTTCAGCAGAGCTATTCCATTAAAAGACAAACACTGCATCCTTACTTCAGAGTTTTCATTTCTTTGATGACTGTCCACAGTCTAGGTGTTCTCAGCTCTAGAACCTGTGTGTATCTGTGTAGAGAATGCTAAATGTTGACATACTGTTAGGAGCTGCTGGCTGAATGTTGGGGGTACAGGATGCTTGGGTCGATGGTTTCTGCATATCCCAAACGGAACCTGAATCTGGAACGGACATGGAACGCGTCACGGGTGGCAATAGGCTCTGTTGCTGTTCTGGAGTTCTGCATGAAAAAGTTTTTAAATGTAAGGTAAGCAAAAGAATAAAACAGCACTGGAGTTAAAACTGGCCTAAGCAACCAAGGAGTAGTTTAGAGGTAAAACTACAAAAAAACAGCACAAACTGAGAATACGGCCAATAAAGATACATGAAATAAGTGTTACAGAAAATATTATAAATAATAAACAAAATACACAGCTGGCCAACCTAAGCTTGAGGGCTTGGTGCAGGAGCATGTTGAGCTGCTGTTGCTGCTGTGTCGGGGGAGCAGCTGAACTGAGCACAGCTTTCTGCTGAGCCAGAGCCTGAGCATACTGCTGATGCCTGTGTTATCGTTGAAAGAGAAGAAGTTCACAAATCTCTTTCATACAAGTATGGCACAAAATCAGTGTGAAATATCTGTAATACTGATCAGATTATCTACTATGACAAAAAGTAGACAAGTTTACAATGATCATTAAATATATTTTACAGACACTAAAAGACAATATAATAATTTGAGAAAATATTTGGGGGAGCTGGAATACAGTATCTGGATAAGTTTATTTTTGAAGACAAAAATAAAAAAAATGTGTCTTACCGAAGCATGTACTGGTATTGCAACTGCTGAAGCTGATAAATGCTTAAAGCATTCAGCTCCTGCTGCCTTTTCATCCTCTCCTGATCAGCATCTCCCTTTTAACAAACACAAAAATTCAATACAGGAGGTGCCAAGACAAACAAGGAAAAACATCACAACTCAAGTGGCATCATTAACATGAAAGTCTGGTGCATTCTGAGACTAAAACACAAGGGTAAATTGCTGAATTTAGTTCAACTCATTAAGCATTTGTTAATCATGCCAAGGTGAATGTGTACAAACTGCAGTAGACATTATGTTTTGAGGCCCCATATCTATTTTAAAGGCCACAGTGCCCATCATTTGCGTTCTACTGGCTCTTAAAATGGCACATCTTGCTTGGACCCCAATGATCGCTATTAGAAATGTTATTTGTAGACAGTTACTAAGCCCTCAGTGGCTATGACAGTCTACAGACAAACTTAGCCAATCCTGAGAGCTGATCATTGATGTTAAGGATTGTTTCGTGAGTTAAGGATTGCTGCAGCCCCATGCAAAGCTCCCTGGTCAGAGGATCCTGCAGTTCCTCGTTCATACAAACCTTTTGACTACGGGACTAAAGGCCTCTTCAAACAGAGTCTAATTTTTACGTACTAATAAAAACCACATCAATTTTTGAAAACGAACAAATGTATTTTAATGCCATCTTTCACACAGAGTCCAAAACTAAAGGACTGCTATTTTCTGCGTTGTACAGATGCATTAAAAATCAGGCAGACCAATCAGATCTCCGTTGTCATGGCTGCAGCACAAACAAACGTGTCAGGATGACAGCAGAACTCTTTAAAAAAAAGAATGTTCAGACAGAAAAACACTTCAGAGATGACGTGAAGGTCTCACTACGTTAAAATCGCATCCGTTTTTGTTGTCCGGAAAAACTGTACTTGATGTGAACAAGCCTTATCGGTGCAGCCCCACCCTCAACTGGTACTGGCTATCAGTCAATCGTGCTGAAAGGCATTCGGCATCGCCCCAAAAACACTAATCGGGCCATCTCCAATAGTCACCATTCAAAACGGCCAATTTCACCAAAAGGCAACAAGTTTGCTCGTATAAAATAATCGAAACAACAAATGAAAAAAAACAACTTTGTAAGTAAGCAAATTACAGTCAAGTATATGAATCAAACTAGGATGAAAACCAATTAGGATTGTGTGCCAGCTACAAAAGAATACTGACAATCAGCACTTTTACATTTGAGATTTCTAAACTAAAGGGGGCAACCAACAGAGCTATGGACAAAGAGCCGGTGCACAAACTGCAAATGCAATCCTTCACAAAGCTGTGAAATTATTCTACAGATTCAGAGGAACTCAAACTAAAAAGACAGTTCAAGACACCATGCCAAACAGCAAAAAACACAGAAATAATTCTCCACATTATTACCAGTATGGGAGGTGGTGCAGGGCCAGGGGCAAAAGGCACTCTCCCCCACATCTTAAAGATTTCTCCCAGGGGGTGGAAACCCTCATCACAGCCCCTCCTCACCAACAAGGTCATGGTGAAGTACCCAGCCTGGAACCACTCAGACATCTCATGATTACTGAATGGACCTGCGACACGAGGGATGCAAAACAAACGAATAAACAAATGACACATGCACTTTTTAAACTTCTATTTTCTGTTCCACTTTTTTGGTTTTCAAATAAGCTACCATAACTACAACAGCAAGATTTACCGCAACTGCTGAACATATTTGCTCTTCATTCAGGATGAAAAGTTCTTTTAGTTTGCATTAGAAGAAAGTCATGTGTGGGGTGCTGATCCTCACCCTGAATCTCTCCCTGAGGGTCCTTGTAGAACCATTTAAGCGCAGCCTCGTGGGACAGTGGCAGGCCAGCAGATTTGGGACGCTCTGTGCTCTTAGCAGCCAAACGCTCGTCGTCCACGCCGCCATCATGCAGATACGCCACCATCTTCTCAGCTTCCTTTTTCAGATCAAGGAAGAGGAGATGAATCAGGATTGATTTATTTATTAGATATGTGCAAGACTAGGTCTGCTCTCACTCTATAACTGTTTGTTTGGGCACTGTATTATTAGATTAGATTAAACTTTGTGCAGAGTACAGGTACAGAGCTAATGAAACGCAGTTAGCATCTAACCAGAAGTGCAAAATACAGTGTTATTTAAATATAAAGTACAGGAAAGTAACCTTGGTAAGTAATGATGTGGTTACAATATGTACAATTAAGGACAGTGGGGTGGTAAACAAAAGTATAATGTACATATATACAGATTCAGTGGAGAGAACGCACATGTAGGGTGTATGTACTGTGAGAGCAGCATATGTAAAATGATAAGTATGCAGAGCAAAAACGTGTACAGTAACTGTGCAGCAATAAATAGTGCAATAATACTAGGACATAAAGTACAGTAACAGTGCAGTGACTGCAATGATGCAGTTAACGTGGTGGTGTGGAGTTCAGCAGAGTCACAGCCTCAGGGAAGAAGCTCTTCTTGAGCCTGCTGGTGTGACAGTGGAGGCTCCTGTAACACCTGCCAGATGGGAGGAGGGTAAAAAGTCCATGATTAGGATGAAAAACATCCTTGATGATGTTCCTAACCCGGTCCAGGCAGCACTTATGGTACATGTTCTCAATGGTGAGCAACTGGGTACTTGCGTTGGGCAGTTTTCACCACCCGCTGGAGTGCTTTTTTGGTTAGATGGAGAGCAGTTGCCATACCACACTGAGATGCAGTTTGTGAGTATGCTCTCAATGGTACAGCTGTAAAAGTCCACCAGTATCCCGAGACACAGGTGAGCTTTCGTGAGGCTCTGGAGGAAGTAAAGACGCTGTTGTGCCTTTTTGACCATGATGGAGGAGTTTAGGGACCAGGTGAGATAAGAAGAGGAGAAGACAGCTCAGCACACAGCCTTGTGGTACGCCAGTGTTCAGGGTGATGGGGAGGAGAAGAGTTTCTCTAACTTAACAGACTGAGGTCTGTCAGAACGTCCAGAATCCAACTGCAGAGAGATGTGCTGATACCAAGTTTTAACAGTCCAGGTGGGTTAGTACAGTGGAGAAATGGCATCCTCCATTGACCTGTTGCGGCAGTAGGCAAACTGGTGTGGGTCCAGTGTAGCAGGCAGACGGGATTTCGAATGAGAAAGAACTAGTCTTTTGAAGCTCTTGGAGATGATGGAGATCAGTGCAACAAGGTGGAAGTCATTCAGAGCTGGAGCAGTCGAACGCTTTGGCACCGGCACAACGGTGGCGATCTTGAAGCTAGTTCGGACAACTGCCAGGAACAGCAACAGACTGAAAATGTCCGTGAAGACCCCGGCCAAGCAGCTTAGCACAGGCTCTAGGTGCACGGCCAGGTACTCAATCAGGGCCAGCTGCCTTTCATGCATTCACCTTGTTCAGGGTGTGACAGACATCCATGGTGAGAGTGTAAGCGGCAGCTCATCAGGTGGTAAATCTGTTTTGAAGAAGACCACCTTGGTTGGTAGGGTGCACAGAGCTGGGTGATTTAAAGCCAGTAACTGACTGTATGCCTTGCCATATATGCCAGGAGTCTAAGGAGTTGAAGTGCTCTTCAACCAGCTGTTTGTAACAGTGTTTAGCCTTTGAGATACCTCTTCTGAGGTTGGCTCTGGCTGAGCTGTAAGGCTCCTGGCCTCCAGACCTGAAGGCATCTCTTGCTTTGAGCAGGAGGCGAACCTCTCTGTTCATCCAGGGCTTCTGATTAGGGAATGTTTTTACTATTTTGCGAGTTGTCACTCTGTCCACACAGCAGTTGATATGTTCCAGGACAGAGTTGGTGTAGATGAGAATGTTGACATGAGAGTCTGTGGTGGCCTGGAGTGCCAAAACACTATAGTCTGTGAGCTGGAATTCGTGCTGAAAACATGAGTCAGCCCCTTCCATCCAGATCTTGACAGATCTTGTGAGTTTCACACGTTTGATAACTGAAGTGTGTACTTGGGGAGCAGGAACAAAGAGAGGTGATCGGACTGTCCCAGATAAGAGAGGGATGTGGATTTGTAGTTAACCACACTGGTGTAAACGTGATCCAAAGTTTTTTTGTCTTCTTGTGGTGCAGAAAACATTCTGGTGAAACTTTGAAAGTCAGGATCTCAAATTGCAGTGAAAAAGCCCCCAGTGACAAAGGCTCTGTCCAGGTGCACAGTTTGCAGTTTGCTACAACTACACAAAAATCTTTCATATGCACATTAGCATTACTGTCTGGGGGCACATGCAGCAGGAACAAAGCTGGTAAATTACTGTGGAAGATACAAGGGTCTGCACTTAATAAATAGGAGCTTTGAACGAAACAACTTTACCTGAAACTATATGTAGAGGCTGTGTTTCATGTATAAATCTTAGGCTTTATCTGTGCACGAGGGTCTATTCAAACATATAATGCGAGCAACCAAAGAAGATTTCTAAAAGCCAAGCAAAATAATCCCAACAAGACAGAAAACTCCACATGAGCTCCTTGGATGTCATTACTGCTGTCGCTGTGCTACAGAGACTGCTGCTGAAACAGAGAGGCGAGAAGCAAAACTATGACTTGTATTTTACTTAGCTGTACAGAAGTGCTTTCCTGCTCACTTTTCTCTACTGCGCAACTCCACGGTAACTAATGCAGCATAGCTAGTTAATGCACTTCTTTTCCAACCAGCCAGATATTAAGGATTTAGGGTACACTGCACTCACCTACACCAACAACTACTTTATTCTAAGTAGGTTACTCAGTATGGTCTTGGACTCAGTGGTTTTGGTGAGTACTGAAAAATATGTACTTGACTTGAACTTTACTTGATCTGAAAAAAATAAATAAATAAATAAATAAAAATATAATAATAATAATAATAATAATAAATATATACATACTAATGTAACCCTTATGACACAGCCACAGGGAACAGCTCTCTGGAGGCAGACAGATAATCTTGGCTAAAGCAGAAGTGGCACTACACCTCAATGTTTGCAAGTCATGCCACGCGCCTTGGAGACTGGAACTGGGTTGAAGAATGCAGCAACAGACCACAAACTTCTAAGGAAGCGTGTGCAGCTTCTGCTCTAAAACCTTTGTGGTGCCACCATCCAATATGGTCAGAAACTTTCACACATTTGGGAACTGAAGATTATTACGCTGAGTGGAACAGAAAATAAAAAACAATGGTTTTAAAAGAAGATACAACAAAAATCCAAACCAGACAGAGGGGACTAATCGAAGATCTTTGGTCCCAAAATCAGGGCACTATAAAAGGATTTCTCGGACTGGTCATTTGTTAGTTGTACAATTGTTCAGGGAAAAAGAAAAACAAACAAATAAACAAACAAAAAAACAAAAACACACCAGGTATATTTCTCCTGAAAGCAGGTGAGCTTCATAAACGGTTAATTTATACTTCATTAAAAAAAAAGAATGGAAATGTATTTGCCTAGAGATGCACATAATGGATTTATTTAACTGTAGCTTGGAGAGGCGGAGACGCAGAAGTATAACTCTGCCTTAAGGCCTCCTAACCTACCTGTTCAAAGTGCTTGAGGCCCTCGTCTTCATCCGTGTCAGGTGGCATGGCTGTAGTCTGGCCAACAGGAGTGATGATGCTCTTAAAGGAGATAGCAGCAGGCACCACCACAGGCCCTTCCACAGGCTTGGGCGGCTGGGGCTGGGGGACTACAGGCTGTGGGGGCAACACTGAGGGGGACGAGGTTTGAAGATCTGAAACATTTAAATAAATAAATAAGAAAATAACATTCCTGTTATTTTAATACAGCACAGACTGAGCATGACGCTTATTCAGAACTATCTTCAGACATGCATCTTTAAACAACATGAATATAAACTACAGCAGAACACAGAATCATGTAAATAGCCTACAAAAAGCAAAGCCTATACCCAGACTAATTCAAAAAAAAATGTGCATGCGTGTATATATATACACACATATACACACATATTATATATATATATATATATATATATATATATATATATATATATATATATATATATATATATATATATATATACACACACACACACACACAAACACTTTTTTTTTGAATTAGTCTGGGCTCAGTATATTGAGTATATGAACCCCTTGTGGTACATACTTGACAAAGCGTTTACATAAAAAGTACTGAATTTACTGCAAAAGTGTACAAACACTAATTCTCTATATCATCTCACAATATGTACACAAACTTTTAAGAGATATGGACAGGTAGCCATCACAACAGTTCCCTCTTTCAGCCTTTACAAACTGATCACGATTTATTTGTGCAATGTCAATAAATTCATTTAAACATGTATAACTGATAAGATCTTGTACACCAAGAGTAATTTTTAGGACAGCAGAAGTGCAACATTATATTTCATTTTTTTGGCCTTCTTTGGTTTGATTTATCCAAACACATGACAGCGACATGAATTCTCCTGACCAAAGACTGATGTCTTTGCTGTTGGCGTAGCGAACCAAGCTGACTGATCACCTGTGTTACAGAAACTAGAATTTTCTGACAAACATCAGAAAGAATTCTTCATCAGAAGCGCAGAGTTCTGCATCCAGGAGCTAAATGTTTTAAGTCAAAACCTTTTACAGACATCTGAGCTGTGCATAAAAGCATTTAAAGTTCAAGCTCCTACATGAGGAGGTGAAAATCTCCTTTGCTTTTCTGAAATGTAAAGTAGCTTACATGGCGTATTTTGCCTGTTTTGTGAAGAGCAAAAGATAATTTTTTTTTATACATTCTCCACATGTTCAGGGTTTTAACATACAGAAAGCCATTTAATTTAGGAAGTACAATTAGTTCTTACCTGTAAGTGTGTTGAGGGTATTGGCGGTGTGTGGTATGGGGATGGCATCCACAACGCAGTTAGGGAGGGGTGTGTGTAGTGGAGCTGTAGTGGCTCTGATTTCGGGCGCCAGCACTCTCTCTGTCGGTCTCTCGGGTTCTTCTGCTCTCTCAGGTTGGCTGGAAGGCAGGGATACTGTTGCAGCTGCTTCTGGAACAGTGACCGTCGCCGGTATGTGAGCAGCAGGCAGAGAGGCCTCTTCCAATTTAGCCCCATCTGGACACAAATCAGTCATGCTCTTTACCAGCACAGTGAAAGCAATGCTTCACAGATTTTAACTGATGTTCAGGGGCAAATGTGTTATCCAAATAAGCCTAATTTTTCTCGTTATTACCACAAGTATTCTACGAAAAGCTTAAATGCAATAAAACAAAACTAGTTCAGCAATACAGCCTAAACAGATTTATACATATGCCACGTTTATTCCCCCCTACTAGCACTGAAATGAGTCAACTGAGCAAAAATATCTGAGTGGGTTTTCCACCATCTCTTACCCTCGTGTCTGGCAGTCTGGTGCTTGCCCTCAGACTCTTTGGTATGCTCTGCTTCGCTGTCGTCCTTCTCTGAACGCTCTTCGCACTCCTCCAGTGGACGGAACTCTAGCTCCGCCTCTTCCAGAATTGGCTCCTTAGGAGCTTTCTGATTGGATAACGAACAAAAAAATAAAATATTTTAAAACTATATTGCAGTTGCTTGAATAAACGGAAAGCATACATTTCAAAACAGATAAGGAAGCCAGAAGGCTAATTTCTGCACAAACACTAAGCGAGAAAAAGATTTCTTCTGTCAGATAAAGTGTCACACATAAAAAGCCATTTAAGAGACAATTTCCATTAATTTGAGTATTGCTTATTGACTGAATGCCAACAAAGACAAAAATTGGGCCTCATCCATGAAAGCTTTGTAAATACATGAGCAACCTGCACGTGAAATGGACCTTCACAAACATTTTCCACCACATTCACATACTCTGCAGTAGTAATAGTAGCAGTAGTAGTAGAATGTATAAATGTTGATGCCAACAATTTGCAAATTTTGCAAAGTGTTTACCATTAGCATAGTACTATGATCCATGCCCATAAAGTGACCAACACAAGGAAAATATCAGACTCCCTGACAAAGCCATGTAAGACAATAAACCTGCACAGAAGTTGTTCAAGAAAATAAATTATTAGAAACCTATTTAACAATATATGAATATTCAAAATTTTTTTATGAGTAGGGTATTTAAAATAAATAAATAAATAAATCAACAATTTTGCCGGGAGAAACAAGTTTACTTAGTCATGTTAGAAATAAACCATTCAAAACCTTATTCAAATAAAATGTAGTGTATTTTTTTATATTTGTAATTTGCAATGAATTATGCACCATTTAAAAAAAAAAAAACTCCCAGGTAACTCCTCCTGCAGCTAATGCCGCAGTCAAGAGGAAATGGCCTCTGTGGGTTTGGCAGGTCTTGTTCCATGCAATGCTGTAGAGGATACAGCAGGCCAGTTTTATTCAAACCTTCCCAGGCCTGTACACTGCCTGCGAGTTGTTAGAGTTGTTATGTGTATTTAAACTACACACGAACAAGAGCAGTTGTATTTGTTTAACTACAAAAACTTTTTTTTTGAGTTTTATGAGGTCTGTTTACATCATAATATTTGTGATCACATTTCTAAATTCAATCCATGCATCATATGAACTAAAGTGACAGGAGACTGCAAATCCACTTGCTGCTCCTCTCCACAACTCACCTTAAGAGACAGGAAGGCTCCTGAAGAGTCGAAGGTACCCGTCTCCTCCTCTGCATCCTCCAGACACCACTCTGGCAGACTGTCCCTCTCATCCTCTATGCTGCCACTGCCCGAGCGGGCTCTCCGGTAGACCCCACCTCGCTCCTCCTCCCCCCGCGAGTCAAACGGAAAGCGGCGTCGCTGATCCGGGTGTTCCCGCCACCCAGCTGAACGCGGCACATCTACGAGAGAGAGTGAGCAAAAGAGAGAAAGCGAGAGTGTCAATCAGTATCAATTCTGTCAGTCATTAGCTTGATTAGACACAACTGAGTCAACAGATAGGAAACAACGTATAAATGCAATAACACACTATGAATGTGCTATTTCAATCATGGCCACACTTCTGGTTGTGCAGAACCACATCACTGCAATGAAACTGCAAAATGTGGGTAAAAATATTAAACTACAATTAGAAGCAGCACAGCATGGTTGCAGTATACCTTACAATACATTAAAAACATACTCATAAAACAAATGTGACAGTGCCATGCAATATTTTGACCAGAAATATTTTGTTGGATAATTTTTTTTGGATTATGTGACATAATTCACCAAAACAGACACAATCTGCAGAAACGTGTGAGACTAGTTAGGATGCTTACAGCACACAATTAAAATGCTTTAAATAGGCTTTAAATTCCAGAAAAAAATATAAAAGAAAGAAAACAGACATGCAGCTGTAACCATGAACTCCAAACATTAGCATCTATAGGATCCGTATTACAAATACAGCTACACAATCAAACGGTGCGCATGATATTATGGGACTGTGACGATGTGAGTGGCTCTCAACTTCTCCATGTGTCTCACACCATCACTGAACATCATTCCCCAATATAACGCACACGCTTCTAAAAGAGAATACAGTATAAACGTTTTCCAAAATTAAAATAATAATTAAAAACCTTAACACCAGGGAAAAATGTGTTTAAGGAACACAAGAGCGTTCCTTTAATTATATCAATATGTACTCAGATATGCATGTTTTGACAGCTGTGCTTAAACAGGGCTGTCAATCATTAACTTAATGGCACAAAACTGAGCCAACTCAATGCATAAACTCACTTCTCTCCCTTCACTTAGCGCCATTCAAATGCACCAACACTCCAAGCCTTATCGGCTTGTGTAACAGAAATAAGACATATCAGGGAAGAGATAGCGAGTATGGAGAACAGAGGAGTAGAACAGAGGGAGGGCACCATGCAACTGGAGGGGCGGGATGTGGGAGAGATATCAGGGTCCATACCTGGACTTGGGTTACACCATCGTTCATTATCCCTTCGGGACCCCGCCAGCCGCCAGCCACCCCCCTCTTCATCCTCACCATTCTGTTCATCTCGAGACATCCGCCAATTCTCGCTTTCAGAGCGTGCAAAGTCATGCTTCCGCACCAAACCCCCTGGACCACCGTCCTCATAGTTACCCCGTACTGTGAGAGAAGGAAAGAAATAAAAAGGGTAGGTGGAGACAAGGAGACGGACAAAGAGGGAGTGTGTGTGGACGAGACAGAACATGTAGTGTTTAGTGCTCCACATGTGAACAAGTCATACTAAACTATGGGAAGGTGCAATATTGAATAATCTATGGCTAGTTTCTCAAACTCCGATAAAACCTTACTAAACAAGACTTTTAACTGAAGCACTATTAGCATTGCAATTTAGTTCAAGACTAGGTTCAATCCATGTATAAGAAACTAGCTCCTAAACTTTGATAGAGCTGGTCTTGGGGTGAGATGCTAGCGAGCTGGAGAAATACTTACTGTGATTCAGCTGAAAGTGGGCTGGAGCTCCATCTAAAAAATGAAGAATTTAAAAACAATCATCAATTCACATACCTGGAGACACTCCTATCTATTTTTAACACTTAAGTTAGTAGAGGATGGTGTAAGAGTTGCAATTCTTCATCAGGTATGATTTTTGTCATACAGATTACACCAGTCTGCCACAAATAAGCACAAAGAAGAAGAAATATGAACAGGGCAAACCACGCTAATGTTAACTCATTGGCCTAACAGCTAAGCCTGGGACGTTGGTCACATTTCAAACGAAAATGAAAACGCAGCAGACCGTCAATTACTTCCTGCTGTCTAGTCCACTGCATTTGAAGTAGTCCACTTTGTTTTTAAGACAGTGGACGTAAATGAATTCCCAGTCTTTTAGGGTCATCCTTAGCCTAACATGGACACCAAAGAGCTTCTGTTTTATCTTGTACCACCTAAAAGTAGCTGACTGACTTGATCAGCTACATCAGACAACATTCTCAGGGTTTGTGTGTGTAACAAGCTGTAGACCAGCTTGAAATGATAGTGTGAATAACTGTACAATTTTCCAAATTCCAGCCGTGCACGTATGACACAAATACATACAAAGCTCAAGCTGCCCTTTTATTTAAATGTCCTGCTCCACAATAAATGGTGCAGCAATTACATTCAGCCGCCTGTACAGGTGCCAGAATAAAATTGCTGCACCATTCAAAGTGGAATGGAAAATTTAACATAAAGCTAGCAAATAGGCCACTTTCAGCCTTGAACAACTAAAGACGTGAAACAACATTCAATATTCCAAAATAATAAGCCACAGTTAATCTACAAAAAACAGCTTTTGATTAAAAAAAAATAAATAAAAATTGATTGGGGGGAAAACTAAATAAATACATACATATACCATGATGTATACATAAACCATCAGAAATTTAAATTAAACTGTGATATCAATTTTCATACCATCCACTACTAATGTAATTAAGTACTTGGGGCAAAAATTTGTTACCTGGATCTTTTCGACTTGGCTTTTCAAACCTTCTGTCTCCCCTGGATAGAAGACAAGGAAAAGAACACAGACTGCATCAGGGTAACTTAACACAGCTGACTAAATGGGTATGGCTCAAAACACAAATTATTACATAAAGACATTTCTTGCTGGCTCGGTAAATATTTTGTTTCAGTATGCCAGCAAATACCATGCTAAACATGAAAATAATCTATTACTATGACCTTAAATTTTAATATCTCAAATTTATATCTATTTAAAGAGTGCCAAATTTCAATAAGCATTATAAACGTCACTGTGGTACAGTCATAACTAGCTTCATTCCTGGAGTTTCTTCATATTATTTATGGGTCCTACAGCACATTCACAGCTCTTCCAGTTAACTGCAATGCTAGAGGACTTCTCTACCCTCTCTATGAGAACAGGTGTCACCATCACTACCTACAGTACATACAGCAAACTTTGGGCAGGAAAAAATGCTAATGGCCAATCGTTTCTCATGTATGGCTTGATATGTCATCGTTTATTCAAAAAACCTTTACCATCACCCTTTTTGCATTTTACGTATTCGTATCTAACTTCTCCACCCCGTCCAAGCGTAAAACTCATTTGGCAATATTTGGGCATTTTTCTGCACATTTTCAAAATTCGCAAAAAAATAGTAGATGGAAAACATGCTATTTTTGCATCCTATTGTCTACAGTTAGATGAACAGGAAGGAGCTGATCCTAGATTGGCAGTTCACATGTTTGGTAAGTGTGAGCACTTATCTTGTTAATTACACTGTTAGATGAATGGAAGAGAACTGCTCCTAGATCAGCAGCCCTAACTGAGGTGTTCAGTAAGTCTAAGCACTGTTACTAGATCAGTTTTCATGTCCCAGTTATTACAACTGGATGAACAGAGGCACTTGCACATAGATCAGCAGTTCTGACAATGACTTGTTTGTTTGCGTGTGGGGTACCTTTCCTCCCAGCTCTGAGAGCGATGCATCTCCCTCCCCCCTCGGCCAAATCCGCCCTCCACGTCATCAAAACTTCTTTGGTAAAACCCTCCTTCTCCCCTGCCTCGTCCTGCATTGAAAATCACATACACACATGCAATTACAGACACATGGTGCCCATATAAGTTTGTTATCTGTGCAGCATCGGAAATGCATACAAACATTAAATGTTTAAAAGAGATGGTCTCATTCAACTCAAAATACACAATGGTTTCATTGGTTTCTGCTGACTCTGAACAGCTTTGTCTATGCAACTAGAAAAAAAAAAACTTCAAAGACTTTCTCTCCCTTTTTTCTATTTTTCTCAGACTAGGGGGGGAAAGTGGAAGTGTGGTTGAGGGTATGCACCTCGCCCGCGTGAGGAACTTCGACCTCGGGTTGCCCCTGCCACCACGCCCCCTCCTCGCCCAGTCAGACGCAGCACTGCCGCACTGTTTACAGACATGGAGAAATTCCTCTGTGGAAAGACACAAACATGTTTCTGAGCAGTTAAAACCAACATCCTTCTCCAAATATATCACCATATCGCAGACTCGAATTATATTCAAGCTAGCATTAATAAAGTGAACTTTCTGAGTACTGCTACTCTATGCCAAAAGACTGTCGCACACACCTGACATAGCTTGTTTTGATTGGCCTGTTGTGCTCTGTTCTATTTGCCTCAAAACATTAAACTGTATTGTAAACATTAACCAGACGTAAACAACATTTCCAAAAAAAGAGTACTTCCTATTTATTCAGTATTTAAAACTGTTTCACAACAAGCTGAAGCAGCAAGCAAACTACAAACACTGTATTCAAAGCTCTTTATCTATCAATACTGCTGAAGGTAAATATTAGTACTGTTGCGTCACACCAGTGGAGATATTCTGGGATAGACAACACACAGTGTTACAGTATGCCGGTGAGAGCTCCTCACTGTTGTACGTCACAAAGAAATTAACTGTGATTGTAAATTCTTAAGCTGCTACAGAAGTGAAACAAACTCCGTTACTCATGTGCGTCATGCTACAATGACTTACATGTGACAAGCATGTTCAGCATGTGCGCATGAATAATGAATAATGCCAGAAGTGCAACTAGGCTTTGCAGGCATACATTAGAGGAATTACATCCAGAACATAATGAGCTTTTTCACGTTTGCAATAAAGTTCCTTGAATGAGAGCATGAATGCAGCACAAGTATTGCGCTGCATAGTGTGTGGCAGTGAGTAACTGCCTGATCTTACCTGTTCCTCCTCTGTAAATGGGACAAGGGCCAGTGGCAGTAAGGGCTCCTCTTGTAAAATAGGCAGAAACTCCTTGTCATGTAGATCTATTGGAATCTACAGCACAGAAACAAAACAGCACAGTAAAACTTAATATAACATCAGAGAAATACATTTAATATCAACGTCTACAATCAATCACTTTATTATCTTTAACTTCAAATTTTGCATTGTTAATACTTAAATAGCCACTGTAACGTAGGAATGTCCTATATAATATTTAGTTAGGCAAAGCAATACTCAGAACATCACCAAAACATATACAATAACAGCTCTAACCAAGCAGTGCTCTCTACCTTGTTATCCTTTACATAAAGTGCTAGCATCTCTTCTCTCCCATAGCGATAGTCTGCAAGTTTATACTTTGGCATTGCAGGTGATAGAGGAGGAGAAGCTACACTGCTGCTCCCCCCTCCACCAGACAAAGCACGGAGCCTGAGAGGAGAGAGAGAGACAAAGAGAGACGAGGGAGAAAAAAGCAAGGAGAGAGACATAAAAATGGCATCAGTGAAATCAGTTCAATTCCCTCCTCAGTGAGAAGTTTATAATCAGCATCTGTAAATGTTACACAAAGCATTCTACCAAAAACACTAATTTATATTATAATGCTTACCATTCTGGTCCAAAGTTAAGTGTCTGGGTTTCTGCCATTTTTCCTAGAAAGTCTGAAAGAAGGGATAATATTTCAAAACAAAATGCAAAACAGTTAGATGGACAAAGCATTTGTATTTGATTGGTGATTGATTATTCATGGGTTTTGTTTTTACTTTTAATAAAAGTTTTTATAAATGTTTTTACATTTTATTAAGCAGGACACACAGATTAGTAAGCCAGTGGGAGCCGATGTCTGCATGTCAGTAATCCCCCTTACTCACTACCAAGCAACAGCTGCAATTAACCTGCTACTTCAGCCAGATGTTCTGTGTTTGAAAGGGTTAAGTGAGCATGGGTCTTACATAATAGAGAACATCCTAAAATGACTAATTGACTATAACGACCAATATGGATGAAAAAACCTGTAAACCAGAAGTGTCCAGTCTTTTCCGCAAAGGGCACGTATGGCTTTTTGTTCCAAACAAGCAGGGCGACACCTGATTCCACTCATTAAATCAGTTGGTCTCAGTCTTCAAACTCAAAATCCGCTTTGCTAGAATGCAAACCTTCAGCCACACCGGCTCCTCCCCTGCTCTAAACTAACAGAACGGCTTTACATTAGACTGTTTATGCTTTGCAAAACAAGAATGAAAATACTGTAGCAAGATCTACAGTGTGAGTTCATGTAATATTTAGTTTTTCTGATACTTAAGTTTGAACTGAAGTAAAACACCACTAGCGCCACATTTTACATGCCAGCAAAAACTGACTACAATGTTTTTTATTTAATGTCTCATACATTGCCAAAAATCTAATTCAGTGAGAATAATTATGCTCTACTAATTATACTCTCTAATAATTATACTCTTTTAATAAAATGTGCAGTGTTCTTGCTGGTGATGCCTACTATTTGCTCAATAATGCATACTGTGATGTAATTCATCATGACAGCAATAAAATATTGGCATACTGCCCACCCCTATTTTAACTGCACATATCCAAAACAGATGGTATGACTAAATCTAGGAGTACAAGCAGTTTTTGGATAACCTGACAAGAAACCTTAGTTTAAAATCTTTTTTATACACTAAAATAATCACAGCATCTGTTGCAGTGTGTCCCAATATAATCTTTAACCGTATGGCACTAAAATTACATGCAGTTTTAACGTATTTAAGAACTATCAATGTGCTAGAGACGTTTTTCACGGGTTAAAGACAGGTCAAAGGACAGCTGTCATTACTGGCCTGTACATGCATTTATGCATGACTGCACTGCTCACCTTTTTTGATGCCACACTAAAGAGATAACATGAAATTACTTAGCCATCAATTTAAACTACACTGGCATTACCAGACAAAGTCCATACTTACTGAAACAAACTATAAACTTTAAACTAGTATTCATGTCTTTCTAAATTACAGACATGGAGCTATTAGACTAAAACATCATAGTGCTGTTAACATCACAGTTCGCACCCATGACTTGCACAGCAAGCCATCAATTCTGGGAATTATATAAACATGTTATAACATGCAAAACACGCCAACATTCAATCTCGTTGATAAAATCTACAGAAACTTATCCTGGTACAGAATAAATCATGCTTAAGGTAGGCTGTAGTTCAAACTAAAGAACCAGCTACAATGGCAGACAGTGCTGTGAGATATACTCTCCAAAAAGTACATTTTTATACATTTAGTGTGTGGCAGGAGTGACACAGTGATACTTTGTAGGCTACCTTATATTATACAGCTTTGCTTTTTAAAAACCTCCAGACATTCTGATAACGCTAATATCAAAATTTATAAAAACAGAAGTTGGTCAAGGATAATTTTTTATAAACCTTCAGAACAAAAATTTTCATGATCTCAGGGGCACTGACGTCATATTTCAGTTCCGTCTAAAAGGGTGACCCCAATGCCTCCCTCATCTCCGCGCAGCCTACACCGATGTAGAAGCCAGAGCTATTTTAAGGACTCTCCCAATTAGGAAGAGCGTTCTCAGACATCTGTATTGAACACAGGGGCTTCAATTGCTTACTTCACTGTATCACCATGCAGAGACACAAGGCTGGTCTGACAGTAAGGTGTGGGAACATGGAGTTCCATCAGCTTTACCTGACTGACAAGGCAGTCTGGAATGATAGCCTGCTCTACATAGTGTTACTCTACACATGCACAGAATTAAACCTCGACTTCACGTATTAAATTATCAGGACACATCGTTATGAAGCTGTTCAATTTTGATTAGAAATCCTAAAGAGTTTAGGTGAAGTTTACTGACTTACCTACTGGGTTGTAAACCACGTGTACTACTTGTGCTTTGTTAATTGCGTGCCATTACCATGAACCTCTCTAAACCGAGTTATTTTATGAGAAAGCTGAAACAAAGCTAGATTTACGACGCAAACGTCATTGCCTTGAGGTACTCGCAGAGATGGTGCAAAGTAATTAGCCACAATACTTTAGCTGGTATTTCCACTTCAGCTACTGTTAGCTCCAAGCTAACAACTCCCACGCTAAAGAAACTCCTAACCGATGCTTGTCACTAACGTCCACCTTGGTCTCTATGTTGAGCCATACCAGTCGAGCAGCTAAAGTAAATAAACTAACTGAAAACTAAAGCAGCTGTTACCACAGTAGCAGGTGAGACGGGCTATATGCTTTTAGTTGTTTCTGTCTTGGTCTCGCCAGCTGGCCCAGGACTGCACAAACTCGTCTGCTAGCTAGCTACTTGCTATCGACCGTCTTTACGAAGCGGTTGGTCTTAAATAGCGACACACAAATCAGCAAACTGTGATTTAAACAATACAGCATTATAATTCACAAAGTACCGGCATCACTGACGTGTAGTCACGGGCATAACATTTACTCAAATACATTCTCACTTGTTTACTGACAAGACAGCGTTGGCTACACATAAATCTTTAGCTAACATACTTTGACGGACTGGCAGTTGTCAGGCAGTAGCCAGCTTGCTGGCTAACAGACTAGCTAGCTCGAGAAGCTAACACCATTGACTTAAATAAACCTCCACTACACTGCCGTTTCATCAGCTGACTTAACTACCAACACACGCTACGTAACATGACTAATGTGTCACGCAAATACTAATATGGCTAAGTGAGGTTTATAGCTAATTTGGTACCCCAGGTCCACGAAGATGTACGGTTGAAGCTACACGGGCCGAATTCATCTACAGTGGCTAACGTTGACGCTACTTGTTGAAATACAACCAAGGTGTCAGAGCAAAAGCTGAATTCCAAATAAACCCACAGGCAGTTAACGTTAGCTAGCTAACTTATCTGAACACGGAGGTGATCAAGTTAACTGGTCAGCGTGTCATGCTACATTAGCCTGAGTAGTAAAGTTAGGTTAAATGGGTGCTGTGATGACTTTTTGCCAGCTAACTTATACGCTATGCTAACTACTGCAGGAAGGTAGCCCATCTATTTTGGATGGCAAGCAGACAGCAAGTTTGTCTGTGACCATTCTTCGTTACAGCGTAACAGAGAGGGATGTCAAACGAAGAAAACTGGCGCAGATGTGAACGGAGTGTGAAGTACACCCGGCAATACTGAAGAAGAGGGCTGACACGAGTTAACCCCTCGGTGCGGCCTACTAATGTGGGGCTTATGCTCACGCCGCTACTAAACGTTAGCTGCAGGCTGTTTGACTCGGTCCCCCACCCCGCCTCTCTCTAAGCCCGACGCGGAAGCCTCGTCTACTCGAGGCCGAAGCTTCACGGCCAGGCAACCATGCGGCTAAACACCTCGGCTAAACGATCTAAATCCTCGGAGACTGGGGGCTCTATGTCACTCAGAATCGACGTATTACCAGTTAAGCTTTATTTTACAGCAAAACCGTTCCCATCGTCCTCGCTGTCTTACCTCTGCTTTAAACTGACAGCGCTGAGTTTGTATGCGAAGTTGTCTCTCTTTTCGTATCCACAAGATGGCTGAAAAAGCGTCACATGACAACCCATGGCCTGAAAAAAATACCCGGATGCGCGAGAACAGGCTGACTACAGCTGTTCGCCTCCAAACCGCCGCGTGTTTTTAAACACAGAGTCAGATCTTCATTTAGACCGGTGGGAATGCGAAAAGTAAGCGGTCTAAGAAAGTAATGACATTGCGTTCTCTCGCAATGATTTTGACTCCCCTTGCAAATGCAGTGGATTTTGCATGGAGATGCAAAACGTGTGCGAATGAAGAAAACGCTATTGCGAAGGAAGGCAAAAATGATTGTAAGAGAATTCAAACATTTAGCAAGGGAACACATTTTTTCTTTACTTTTTCTTTTTTTGACACAATGACACTTTAGGGGCTCCGTACAATAAGGTAGAATTCGGCAGGGTAACAGATTTTAGCAAACCCAAGTGCAGAGTAAACTTACTCTCTGGATTGGGATTCTTGTTCCAGGCCAGTTTTGGGGCTTCTTAGTGTTACTGTATAGAATATGCTTTCTGAGGGGCGATGGAGCGGATTACCTAGACCAGGGGTGTCAAACTCAACCAGTGAAAGGGCCATATTAAAAAAATCTAATCAAATCTGTGGGCTGGAGAAAAAAAAATGTTTTTCTTTCATTTTTAATTAATGTTGTGTTACAACCCGAAGAGGCCATTGTTTATTCAAAATATGCAAAAACTTCAACGGTAAAATACAGACACTTGTAGTAGACCTTGAAATATTACATGGACACTTGAATTATTCAAAATTTAAATACCCCCAAGAGCTCAGTCAGTTTAAACCTACCTATTTACTTGAACTAGACACCTGGCATCCTTTCTTTGCTGCAAGTTCATTAAGACGTGGGCTCAATTTCTGAGCTGCTGAGCTTACGTTAAGTGTTTATGTTGGTTGAACTGCAGCTGAAATGCATTTTGGTGATGTGACTGGTTTGGAATTGCGCAGAATTATGTAGAATTGAGGCGAAACCGCTGTCCCACACACTGTTGTTGGGGTAGGAGGGTCAAAGCGTACATTACGTTGCAGTGCATGCTGGGGACTGTAGTGCAGCACATTGTAAAGCGGGCTAATATTAATAGAAAATTAAAATACTTTGGCGGGCCGGATCTGGCCCGCGGGCCTTGTGTTTGACACATGGGAGCTGGACTGAAATAAGGCCATAAAATGAATCAATGCCCAGAGGAGCCCTGCAGGACAACAGCACTGTGCAGTTTAAAGACTCCAACTAAGAGGAACCACATTCTATATTTTCTACTCTAGTTTCTATACAATTTTTTCTACATTAATGTTTTCATTTAAAGTTTACTTTTGTGCGGTTTTATTTTATCAAAAAAGTAATTAATTTTTAGATGACTCCTCTGTAGTTCAAGAATTAACTTATTTTTGTCGCTCTGCTTTTAAGATTGATATGTGATTTATTTAAATAACCTTTGTACTGATTGGCAGTCTTGTATTATGACTATTGTATAATATAATATAAATACAAAATCACGAAGGGTATTATAAAACAATATAGTTAAAAATAGAACAAAAATTAATAAATGGATACATAACATTAGTGACAAAAAGGATTTATAGTACAGTGATGATAAATAACAGATAATAAAATAAACATAAAATCACAGTAATAAAATAAACATAAAATCACAGTAATAAAATTAAACATAAGTTGTGTAGTGATAAAAGAAAAAAATAATGTGTTCAAGGTTGTGATGTCACAAACATGATTTCAAAACTTGTAGTTAGTTATTATTCATGGACTGGGGAGCAAACAGTACATTTTGAAATTCTGCAGTGTTTACATGTAGTACATTGAACTTTAATTATAAAAAAGCAAAGGAAATTTGGTTTTCCATGATATGGCCCCTTTAATTGAACCTTCTCACTTATTTACCAGTTGCATTTTAATGCACGACAGTTTTTTGAACAGGTTACGGCAATAATTTGATTCAAGAGTTTATACGCACAGCAAAAACTTGATAACAGTAGACCAGTGAAGATCTCTCTGGATATTTTAATGTCTGTACAGAACCTTTATTTGTTTTATTGACCTTATGTGCACACATGTACATCTTCTTCTACACTTATGATGAGATGATGATACTGCCTACATTCCCAGACTAATCAAATTTTGTGGGGGCAGAACTGGAGGTTTGCTGGTGTGCTGATTTTGATTAAGAACTTACCCACATTAAAAACGCAGATAAGGTTGTTTACATGGATTTTTGCATCAGAGGCATGTTAACTTCAAAGTGTAAGCATGCATGCGATAAAGGGCTGTGGTCCTTTCAGCATAACATTGCAGATCTCTTGCCTAGACCATGAAAAATGCTTCTTTGTTTTTCAGTGTACAGAAATCTAGAAGCTTCCTTTCATTAAGAACCCAGCTGTCTCTATTGCCTTGTGTCTGAAATTGTATCTGTTACCCCACCTGAAGTGAAATTAAATAAAAATATATTAAATTAAAAAAACATTTATTAAAAGGTGCCAACGTAGACTACATTAAATGAGAATTCAACCAATGTTTTCCCACAGAAATTTATACATTTAACCATTGAACCATAATTCAATCATTAGGATGTAAACAAAGTCTTTCAGGGTGGATTGATGAGAAACGTAAATAATGGTAAATTTGAACAAAATATCTTTGGGAACTACTTTGCCTTACAACACCCTGCATGTACCCCTCTGCCCTGAATGCATTTAAAAAATACATTTTAGGCCAAAGGCTTATCTCAAAAATATCATAAAACAATGTCTCAGACATCGGGCAGCATATTTGTAACCATTTCTAGTAACAACTTTCTGTGATGTAGTTCTCAAAGGCACTAAGGACTTCATGAACATATTGCTGAATCAGGTCAGCCAGCCCTGTTGTCACATATTAACAGGCTAACATAATCTGATAACTGACTGCAGAGCCCTCTCACCATTAAAAAAGTAAACTGAGATTTTATCTTTTTCTCATGGCTCTGTGAAAACATACAGTGCATTCTGTATACTCATTGTGTACCTATGTGTATCTCTCGTACAGGAAATTGTACCTTTCTCCTATTTATGATCAACTTCCCCATACTCAAAGTTTGGGGAACAGTCTCACTAAAATGACCTGCATTTCTAAATACAGCGAGACCTAGTAGCCTCATGCAAAACAATGGCTGCTAGTTTTTAGCAGAGCTGTACTCTTGAACAATATTGGCAATTTGATTCCTAAGGAAAATCCCCCCAAAAAGTTTTCTTTGGGTACTAAGCCAGTGAGACAGTGCCTTGCATGTAGCTCTCTGTCCTGCATGTGTTTTAAAAACATTTTAGGCCAAAATCATATCGTAAAACAATGTTCCAGGTATTCATAACCATTCCATGTAATAATGCTCTGTGAGGAAGCTTGTATGGGCAAAACTATCATAATACAGAACTTCACTCTTGTCCCATATTCACCGTTTGTCACATAAGGTAGGAGTTGCAAATGGTTATGTAGACTGCAGCTGACTAGGCCTGTGCACTGCAATGTAAGGTTTACTGCTAACCACAATTAATAGTCCGCCAATTAAACTCACATTCAGATTAATTGCGGTTATGTTTGGAAAGGCTGCTACCATGTTATTAAGAGTAACGCAGTAAGTGAGTAGAAAGAAAAAGTTCCTAAATTTTAGTAAAAGACAAATAAACGTTATATATTAGGCTAGATAGAGGCTAGGCTATGTGCTTGTTCCTCTAGACTGAATGACGTCCTTGCAGACATAGGTTTCTCATAGCAAGGATGTGGTTACAAAGTTTAAAAGAAGAAGTGTTTTCATCTGACACCACAGTCTGCATTCAAGCCAGTGAGAGAGACGCTAACATCGGAGTACCTTCACCTTGGTAAGTGGAAACAACTGTACTCATAAAATATACTGTAAAAGGATCTGAAACTGAATAAAAAAAAACATAGTGACAGACAATAGGCATATTTTCAGATCTGTCAGTTTGGACGTGCGTGTTTAGATTTTATCGAGTCAGTCGTAGTTTCTGTTTTGATTTTGTTTATTTTTTCCAAAACTTTCAAACACTTTCAAAAGTGTGAAATCTATATATATACACTGTGAAAATGTTTGTATTTGTTGTTACAAATAACTTGATCAAACTTACAGAGCACCAAGGTGGAATGTAAAATACAAACTTCACTTCAATGCATTTCCAAAAAAGTCAATTATCAGGTTCCAGTTTTTAAATAAATGGAAGAATTTGCAGGATTGAATTTGAACATTTTAATGCAATGGATTTGCCCCAGTACACTGGAACAGTTTTGAAGCAGGAACTAATTTTTCCTACCACAAAGAAATATGTAAACAACTATGTAAAGACAGGAAAGGGAGATGAAAAGATGATGAAATGCAACAAATGGATTACACCTATGCAGGAAGGCTTTTACAGAATAGAAACAGAGATAATGCTTCTTTCCAGCAGAAAGGTGGGGGCGGCAAACTTCAAAAGCGCTACGAGGTCAAAACGAAGCTGTCCTGAATCATTACATGAGACACATTTGTCACCGTAACTCTCACTGTTTCTAAAGCAGATTTCCAGAAGTCTCTTTGCTGAAAAGTAGGACATCCTGAAGCTACCTGTAACGTAACTGCAATAACATGTTTGTGTAATTCCAGTAACCTCCAGATTCTCTAAACATTTGATCAGTTCTTTGAATTGGAATTCATTTTAAATGCATAGTGAGAAAATACTACAGCTAGTACATGTAGGTAAAACGTTTCTGAAGGGCAATGTCCATAAGGCCTTCAAACCTATAAACACATAAACACATTTATAAAAGCTTATTCCACCAAACACCAGTTGTCATAACACCAGCTGTTACAAAATGACATCAAAGTGGACAAAAGCTGCCTGACGATTGATGCTTGTTACAATAAGCATTTATAAAAGTTTATGTATTTATGTCAGTTGTCATGAAAGGCAAATGTAGGGGTCATGTAGCCTTACATATGCTACCTTTTGGTAACATGTTATCCATAATTGTAATGAAATGCAGTGTGTAGCATTTGAGAAAGTTTCCTCTCTTGTACACGTAAGAATACGTAACAAAACAAAGTTAATAAGAATGATGAAAAAGTAAGAGTTAGGTCTACATATTGATATCTATTATTATGCGTATACGTAAAGATTTCCCACAAACATCGATGTCGTTGCGATGTTGTTGTTCATGCTATTTTTAAAGTGTGTAATTCGTTAGGGCTGGTTCCAAGTGCCTTGTGAGAAATGAAGCCACAAGCCATGTGTGTGAGAAGAGGAAGGCAGCGTTTCGAAAGCATGACTCTTTGAGTCGTTAATCAGCTTATGCTTATGCAAGAATAACATTCGAGCAACTGATTTTAAAGGAGAACGTATTTTAACGCAGCAAACTCATGCATATCTTAGGATCTGGTTCAGCTTCTGCAGATTCTGGGTTCTCTATTCAGCTCAGGTCTGTTCAGTTTTGAAGGCTGTGTGTGATTTAAATCTGAGAAAGCAAGGTGTGCTGACAGCAGTGGTAAATTTTGTGGTGGCTTACATTCCCCCTCCCCCCTCCCTCTGCCTGATGTTTATGTGCATGAAGGAAAGGATATTCGGTAATCATTTTCACATGATCGCAGATCACACTTGTCATTACTGCAACTTTTATGTACGCACTCACAAGCACTAAATTAAACAAGCTGAATTAATTTCTACAGAACAAAATTTGGTTTAGAAATGAAAATTCTGTTTAAAATAATTACATAAAAACTGAAATAGAGGCATACAATAAAAATATTTCTGTAATAGAAAAAATGTAACATACACATATGTATACATGTATATATACAGATGTATATATATACATATATATATATATATACATTATATATAAATATATATATTCACATATAGAGAAATGTAGAGAAATAAAGATATTTACATATAATATAAGCAAGAATAAATGATCAAATAGTAGATGAAAATCAACAAAAAGAATAAGCACAAAGAAATGTTTATTGTAATAGAATCAAAATAAAATATTTACATTACACACAGATTTTGCTTTTAAAAATAATAGCAATATCAAAATCCGATGTTCTTGAAATCTATGCTTATTATTCTGTTCTTAATCTTAAGACTTATTATTGTATAACTACCACAAATTACTAACTACTATTAAAGGAACTGCTCTGAAAAATGTCAGTTATGCAATTATGCAAGAAGGAACTGAAGTGTGTAGATTTAATGGGTCATTCATCATCATTTGACTTTTACAGAGCTCAGACATGGTTATACCCAAGATAAGTCATCAACAAAAGAGAGATACAATAAATCTATTTATATGTAAGATATAATAACTGTAAGTGTAATTGTTTAGCTTCTGATATATAATGTATTTTTATGATTTATTCATAAAACACTGCTGGTGATGTTATATTATAACATGTTCCAAGAAAATATAAAAACTAACGGAGAATCCAGACTTTAAATAATAATTATGATTCAAAATAATGAATTTGTTATATAAGCATGAAATTATTTTCTTTGGCAAATGTTTGGCACTGTAAAACCAAACTATATCATAGCTGCATTCTACTGAAAATCATTCCTGTCTCAGAACAGACTTAATCTTTGTCAAGGGAAGCGGCCACTGAGGACCTGAATAGTGATTTAAATGTTTATGCTTTTACACTGAATGTAATTGCTTTATATAAACTATTTTAAAGTAATTAAATGTTAATAAGGTGTTTTTTTACTATACATTACTAAATTTGGACCACTGTCACAAAGCAGCCTTAAATAAATTGAAAAGAAACAAGTATTCAGACACTTTTGTTTTTATTATTTAATATTCCTCCACCACACATATCCACTTCAAATTTACACATTATATCTTTTGACTTTGTACCCCAAGGTATATATTCATAAACATAAAGAAATATATGTTTAAAAAACAAAACTGATGTTTGGAAAAAAGTATCCAAACATCACAAATTAGTAACTCTAATACTTTGCTGTCTTTAGTTCCCCAAGGCTATGAGCCCCTCTGGTGGAATTTCAAAAGCTTCCATACATTTTCAATAGGATTCAAGTCAAGAGGTTGGCTCGGCCATCCAAGCACCTTCACTTTCTTTTTTAGAAACCAGTCTTAAGTTATGCTGGTTGTGTGCTTTGAGGTCATTGTCCCGGTACTGTCTGCAGAGTCAGCCCCATATAGTGATGCTCCCACCCTCCATACTTCCCTGTGGCTATGGTGCTGTTGGGATCACACATGTAAACCTTCTTTTTTCAGTTTTATTTTTGGCTCATCTGATCAGAGTATAATGCTTTCGCATTTTAGACACGCAACTCTTTGCTTCTTTTTTAGCAGAGGAGTCTTGCTTTCTCCCAACCAGTCTTTCAAAATGACATCAGGCGCAACTTTTTTGCAGCAGCATTAAAAACAAGAGCTTGATTTATTTCTTTATAATGTAGCATTTACTTATGCATTTTTTATGTAGTGTCTAAATACATGTTTCCAATCACTATATTTCTAAGCATGAAACCCTTGCTCAAGTAAACCGTGTAATAAATTACAGCTGTACCATCTTTCTCAGAAATTACAAAACTTTTGTTATTAGTTTATCACACCACCCTGGTCTGATAGCTGTAGAAATATACTCCCAAGCTAAATGGTAATGCAGCTACGCTGTCAGACTCATTGCGCTTTACAATCATAAAAACCTGCTGGTCTACGCATATGCGTACGTGAGTAGGCGCAAGTGTGAGCAAATTAGACAGACGGGGTCGCTGACTGACAATAAGTGTTGTTAAAGGAATACTCCAGTGTTTTTCAACGTCATCTGCTACATCTGTAGATTGCTGTCGATTAACATAGAAAATAATTTTGACACCTTTTCCCCGTACTTGGTAAAAGAACAGAAAACCTGTTGACTCAAAACACACTTACAGTAGACGCCAACAGCCTGGTGTTTTCCTTGGTATGGGGAAATTACTGTCCGTGAAAACTGACCATATGCTTGAGATAAAGCACTGAAAAACACTGTATTGTAAAGCACTGTATTCAGTGAATTGCTCTCAAAGAAAAAAGATTTCTAACAAGCAGATGAATTTCATGCTTACTTCCCCCAGAACATCACCAGAGTCACCATGAATGCCAACTGTGTGTTTAATGATACTGAGAATATCATGAAGTCACTGGAGATGGCCATCTATGTGCCCATCTTTGTCTTCGGCCTTGTCCTGAACATCATCGCACTTGCGGTGTTCTGCACCTTGCTCAAGAAATGGACAGAGTCCTCCATCTACATGACCAACCTAGCTCTGATGGACCTGCTTTTGTTGCTCCAGCTCCCCTTCAAAATGCATGCAAGGGACAACAAGTGGTCCTCTGACAAGACGACGTTCTGCTCCTTCTTGGAAAGCCTGTACTTCATGGGCATGTACGGGAGTATTTACACCATAACATGCATCTCCATCGACCGCTACATCGGCATATGCCACCCTTTCAGCTTCAGAGGGCTGCGGTCCACAAAGATCGCTCGGAATGTGTGCATCACCATCTGGTTGGTTGTGGTGTTAGCGACCCTGCCCGTCTACACCTTCCATGAGAAAGCAAAAACCGAGTTCCGCTGCTTCCATGGCTTTTCCGACAAGGGTTGGCACACGGCACTCATTGCCTGCTTGGAGGTGTTTGGGTTTTTGCTTCCCACTCTCGTGTTGGTGACTTGCTCAGCACTGAGCGTCCGTGCGTTAAAGGAATCCAACACCAGCAGTTTAGAGAAGCAGGCTGGAATACGAATCATCTACAGCAGCCTTTGCGCCTTCCTGGTGCCCTTCACCCCAAGCCATGTAGCCATCTTCCTGCAGTACCTGGTGCGCAGTGGCAGAATCTCAGACTGCGAGGCCATGAAGAGTATTGCCCTGTTTGTGCAGTTGACCATATGCCTGTCCAATGTCACCAGCTGCCTGGATGCCATCTGCTATTACTTCGTAGCCAAAGAGGTGCGCGCCAGCAAGAGAGTGATCAGGCAGTCCATCAGCAGAATCAGAAGCAGCAGTGCCTCAGAAGTGTAAGAAAGAAACATTTTTTGGTTCTCGTATGAGTAACCACAGCAGGCTCTCAGGCGCTTCTCACGCGATGGGAGCGTGCCGAGCTCAAGAGAAACTTTAGAGATGAATGGTCAAAAGCTGACTGTGCTTGAGTGCAGACTCATTATTTATAGAGCCTTTTTTATTCTACATTGTCCATCAAAAGTTTCCTTTTTGTATGGCCACCCTAAAATGTTGAAGTAGATGTCAGATAAGACATAAAGGTTTCAGTTTATTATTAAGTGTGGCCTCTAAGTTGACGTCAGCTTAGGAAGGTTTTGATAACGTGCTTTTTTATGTACACTGCTTGTCAAAAGTTTGCAGACACCTTACCTTCTTATGGAATTTGGAATTTCTTGCTGCTACATTTCAGTTAAGTAAAAACAATATCTGCAAATGGTTTGTTAACATAAAATAGTTGTGTGCTAATGCTTTGGGTATATTTTCATGTGCTTTCTTGGTAGTTTAAACACTACTCATAAGTGCTGACATCACAGTAAGTCTTTAAAATGTGTGAGACACGTCAGGTTAAATACTGTGAGAAATACTGTCACAAATAGTGAAACATTATATTGTTTTAACCACAATATAACTGGTTAACCTTTAATATGCTACATTACTACAAACCAAAAAACATGCTCATCTGTTAAAAAAACAAAACAAAAAAACAAAAACATTTGGAAAACACAGATGTTCCCAAACCTTTGACAAGCAGTGAATATACTGTGAATAGTCTATATCCAGCAAATGTGTTCAGCAAATGAGCTACTTCCCAGTTAAAACTGAAATGTGTTCAGATGTAGTAGCATTGCTATCTGTTTCCATTAGGTGGGCGAAAGAGTGGGCCCAGGCAGCACGCCTGCTGTTTCACTCTGCCTCAGGGAGCAAGTTTCTGTTTGTACAAACTTTTTCACAGCGTTTCATGGTGTGTGAGAAATGTGATAAAAGTGTTGGTAGCATGTATTTAAAATTAAAATAGCTAGTTGCTACTGTATCTTCAACATGAAGTAACTTTAAAAGTATTTGCCTTTTTATGTATTTTTTATATTTTGGTAACATGGCATTAAGGGGGTGGAGTGATAAATGAAAATGCTTTCGGTTCAAGTTTTGGACTAAGTTTTCATTGTAGAATTACCACTTGCACATATTATAAATACAAAGAAATGTGATTTTGATAAAACCTGAAAAAGGGTTGTAGTAATTCACAGATTAAAAGGACTTACTTGTCTTTTTGTATTGTATTCTGCATGTGTTTTTCTTTTGATTTTTCACGATAGCACTTTACAATTATATTTACTTATTTAGGTATAAAGTCATATGCAAAAGTTTAAACACCCCTCATCAAATTATTTTTTATATATGTTTTTTTTTATTTTCTAAGTGAAAACACACTTATAAAATGTGTCATATCTTTTGCCACATGTAGTTTTTTTTTTATTTGTTAAAGTCAGCAAATAATCAGTATTTGTGCATTAAAATGTGCAGATGTGTGTTCTCTGTAGATGTGCTAACTTATTTTCACTTGAAAAATCAACAAAACAATAACAACAATTTGATCGGGGTGCCCAAACTTTTGCATACGACTGCATGTTTGATTGCCCACATAGCTCCCGATGCATACTTTAAACTAGTTTAAGGCTGGGTTAAAATGTTAATTTCATTTAGTCAAACACAATCTGCCTCAGGCATGTAGAAATACTTATCTAAACCTAAATGTTGTAGATTTTTAAATTTAATTTAAATTTATTTTAAATTTTGGGGCTGACAAATTTTTGGTAATTGAACATCAAAAGGAAAGTCAACAAAACAATAATCTGAGTCCAACATTCTGTTACATAAACATATCCTCTGATGTTCAGGGAGCTTAAAATTTTAAATCAGCCATATTACATATTTTTCAGGCTAAAACAACAAATATCACAGTTTATTAATCACAACATTTTCAACAGGAGTATCGCTAGGATTCAAACTCACCACCTACTGATGCAGTTGGAAGCAGTCAGCAGTTGCACCACTCATGAAATTTCATAAAGTCATGAAAGTACTGAAAGAACGAAAGTCATTAAAATCTGTAAAAATGTGGTTCAGGAGGAACGTTATTATTTCGTTTTGGACACAAAAATCATGAGTTTGAATCACTGAGACGCCACGGGTGAGAGAAAGAGTCTGAGTCTGTGGGTGAGAATTAGCAATAAACAAATTAGTGGGAGTGGGAAACAGTTGAAGCAATTTCAATTTGTAATGAGCACATTTACTGTCTTTCTGAGTAAGCTCAAACTGTATTGTTTACCTGAGACATAGTACTAAAAAATGTGCGTTAGAAGAGCTTCTGACAAAACGTGAGAAAAGTTGAGAGCAAAAAAGCTTTGCACCTGGTTGCCCTCAAATTTTAAGCTGATCTAACTTTTATTTTTTTTAAGTATGAAGTGTTGACACACTGCAATGAAGAACAGCTTTTGCATTAGACTTTTGTGAGACAGTCTCGTGGTTACTGGTGACGATTTGCGGTGACTGCAAAACAGATTCCAGACCTGAAGCAATAACGGTGTGATGATGACTAATAAAGCCCTAGTCTTAGCACTAAAAAAATAACGGGGAACCCCACTGACAATGTAATCCATTTCAAGAATATTTAATCAAGTGTAGAATCTCAGTCCATAATGTTTAGGTTTTTAAGTCTGTTAAACTTAAAATGATGCCTTTTTTTGCTTGCTTCCAATGACAATGTAATGTTGTGCTGCAGGCATGAATCTGAAAAACAAAAAAACAAACAGGTAAACAAATATGGCTAAACAGATGAGTACAATGCCAGTACATCATGCATTAAACAACAGAAACACGTAAACCAATGCACACTGTGGTAAAGGGAGTGTGGTGCAGCTCATGCATGCAGTGCAAATAGAGTTCATCAAGATGAGAAAAGGTGTGAGAATAACAAAGGTCATCAAAGGACAGTAGAGCGAACATCACTATAAACAGGCTTTTAATAAGATGAATTCCTTCCTGTGGTGATTTCTGGAAAGTGGATGGAGCTACTGTGTCACAATATGCTGAAATTCAACAGGATACATATTGAGGAGAGGACTTGCTAGATGTTATGGGTGAACAATGCTCGGTTTCCTTTTTCTGTTTTCTTTTTTCCTTTTTTTTTTGTTGAAATGTCTGTTTCTGGTGCATTTTCACAGTGAATTATATATTTACCCTTTTCACAGTAGCCATAATGCAGTTTGCACCTAGTTTGCAGGAAGTCCTTTAGTTGAACTTAGTTGCATTTTTTTTATCAATATGTAATTATGTATACATTTCAAATGTGTATGATTTACAAAACATAGACCAGCTATGTTTGACTTTAATCTTTTTTAATCTAAAAATACTAACAATACTGTTTGTTCTAAGCTTCATTTTACATCTTATATATGCGTGTGTGTGTGTACACTATATACGTTTTGGCAAATTGGAGACCTTCCTGGTGGAAATGTGTAACTGCACACCAAGTGCAGAAGAACATTTTGTAACGTTGGTTGTGTTTCGGACCCCTTCCCCAAGTGGACGAATTGGATGCAAGCAAGAAGAATGTGTCTTTCAAAGATGTAAGTAAACTATCTACTATTGTTATCTTCCATAATTTCTTCATCAGTGTAAGGTTGATTTTGCACTGGAGACCTAAACATTGAGACCTTTTTGTTGTGCGCTTGACTTTAGTACATAAAGATGTATGACGCTTGTCTTAGTAATGCTACTTCTTTCAGTTTTAACAAAACCATTGTTGAATTTGTTCATAAGAGGCATAGACAAGTTAAACAAATAGAACCATATAAAAATATCTCCTAAAAGTTTATAATGCTTTCCCTGAAATTACCTTTAGCTACTTAACACACAGGAATCCAAACTAGCCTAACAACAAGACAGACTACAAGGCAAAATGTCAAATGTGAACTACTATTCTAACAGAAGTACTCATCATACATAAAGAACTACTTTGTTCATGTATGATATAACCTGCTTACCCAGGACACCAAAAATGTCCAGTGTCCATTCAGCCACATTCCCAAATATTTATATAGATACTCATCTCTCAGAAGTATCTCTACTTCTTTCAGTTTTAAAAAATGCAGCTTTAACAAAGCAAAATGGGTTATTCAGTGGCCTAATTGGGAATTTAATCGTCACACTCTCTGTGCTCTTTGTAAGTGTTCTGATTGGCTAAGGAAAGTGTCAGCCATTGCTCAGGCTGTCCAATCCCTGGCCCCACCCCCACCTTTCACTAAAACCTGCCCCTAAATACATAAACACAGACTGTCCAAACATAGATCAATAACTGTAACTAGGCTTAGGGATCTCCCACAAGCTTTCAGAACTGATCAATACAATTATAACACATAAACCAGACATCTGCTATTTCAAGCGTTTGGAGGGAGGAGTGAAATTTGATCCTTTTAAAAGCTGAATACATAAGAGGAGAGGTAAGGAAGGCGGATTAAATTGTGGAAGACAGCTTTACCAATTAAACTTGTGAAAACGCCACATGTATCTTGTGCATAATGTAGAGCTGAAACAAATAAAGAAATCAAATTAACAAGAAGACGTAAGGAAAACACACACACACACACACACACACACACACACACACACACACACACACACATTCTAACAAGCAATATCACTAGCATTTTGTGAATGGATGGCCTACCTCTAAATAAATCCTGTCTGCTCATGTTGTTCCTGTCAAAAACCTATGGACAACACAGCATAATCACTGTTTGCTAGCTTAGCTAACATTTGAAGTATTTAACGAGACCTAGTGGAGCATATGGTCACTGTCAGAACAAAACCTTGTATCTCCAATAAGGTAGCTTTATAGGAGAAGGCAAAAACATTTTGAATTTTTAATGGAAGTTAATGGACAAATGATTTATTCCCAGTAATTTGGATCATTTCTATTGGTATAAGCTAATTTCAATGTTTAAAAAAATGTTTTCATTTTAAAAACTTCATTCAAGAAATGATGCCCCATGTTTCCATGTCACTACCGAATCACAAAGAGTTCAAGTCTGTAGGCAGAGCCTTTTTTCGCCACACACTTGCATTTTAGAGCAAGAACAGAAATTGCATCCCTGTCCCTCATGACCAC